CGATGGTGTGGATTCGCGGCCAGCTGGTCCAATAATGAAAATGTTATGCGCTCATCTACACTTTCGACCCTTGGTCTGCTCGCTCCTCCCTTGTCTTCTAGTTTTCTTCTCTGCTTTTTCGTTAGGTGAGAGTTAGGGGTTGAGGAGTGGGACTGAGGGAAAGGGGAAGTAGGGGGCTGGGGGGGAGGACTGGACGTGGTGGTGGTAGGAAGGGGGGTGTTTTTGGGTTAGGTCGAGGGACTGATGAGATTTGATATGAAGCGAGAGGAAGGTGTTCCCACGATTGGCTTTGCATCTGGGCGGAAGGGGTTCTCTCGTTCTACATTATTGTGACATTAGGGACCTACGGGTCCACGAAAGGCTATGTCACGTCTGGATCATAGATTCGGATATATTAAAAGGGTCACTGGTCAACATATCGCAATGTCTCCAATGTGTGTCTTTTGGCACCGCAAAGTTCGAACTACCTTATTATTAGGTATCCATGATATCTAGGTATACCAGCGGTAACCCAAAAATAATACTCGAATCGGCCAGAACCAGCTGGTGACCCAATCATCCTGGCTTTGATCAACCAAGATCCATATCATGTATGCATAGGATGCCAGAACCTTCCTTTTTTGCGGTCCGAAACGTAGATCAACGTAAATCCGAGTCGACTGAATGTCGTCATCTGTCCGCCCTCCGCGGGGTTTCAGGTGGTGGTCGTGTCGTAGCACTTGTTGGGGCGTATGTTTCCGGCTCCTTACCCTTCCCTGGCGGTTGAGTAGAACTCGGTGGCAGCTCTAGCCGACTCGGCGGTTCTGGCCTCGCCGGCCTACTCCTCCCAGACGAAACGGAAGCCTCTTTCTCATCTCCCCTCCGCCCCGGCGGTTCCTCCCTAGCCGCCTCCACATCCCTTGGCTGCTGCTTCTGCTGCCGCTTCACACCCTTCTTATCCGCCCTCCTCAAACACCCGCCCCTCACCGCCCAATACACCAACACCACCGTCATCAACCCCACCACCGCCCACGTCAACGCAATCCAATTCAGCCCCATCACGGCCGTCACCCCGACCTCCTCCCCCAGCCTGTTGATCCTTACCTCCGCATCCTTCGCCCCCGCGGCCGCCACCAGCGCACCCAGCAACAAAAACAGCACCGCGGCCGACGCGAACGTCAGGTTCGTCCACACGGCCCAGTCGTAGGCGAGCTCGCTGTGGCTGTAGGTCTCGGAGCTGACGGCGAGGGAGGGCAGGCAGGCGAAGAGCGAGAGCCCCGTGAAGCCGGCGCCGATGGAGAGGAGCACGCCGACCGCTTTGAAGAGCGTGTCCAGCCCGTCGAGGGCGGCTGAGAGTTGGTAGGTGAGCCCGGTGGAGGTTAGGGGGGTGGAGGTGCTGTGGGTGCGGGCGGTGCTGTTATGGGGGAAGTGGGTGGTGGTGGTGGTGTCGGGGGTGCCGAGCAGGGCGGGGATGGTGAAGATTTCGTCGGAGCCTGGAGGTTAAACGCCCCCCCGCCGGGGGGGTTGGTTAGTAAGGGGGTGCGTGGTGGTGGGGGTGGGGGTTTGGTGCCAAATGACGAGGTGCGGGTAGCCTACTGGAAAAATAGGGGTAGCATTGTGTTAGTTGGCGGCCGTGGTCGGGTGTGAGCCCGCCTTCGCAAATTGCCAGGGCGTAGAGAGTGTAGAAAGTGTCCCGTGGACCGTTATCTTCTCCATCGTCCATGATTCCGTTGTCCGTATTAGCAGTGACGGTGCCCTGGCCGGCACCTTTCCTTCCAGGATTTGGCGGGGGAGATGGGAGGGTGTCTAGGTTCGTTTTATCACCGAGACTGTTATCCTGCCCAGAAACATTAACCTGTCGCCGCAACACTCGGTTAGCCAAGTTGAACCTGTAGGTGATGTATTCCGGGGGCGGGCCAGGGTGCTCACCGTAATGATATGGTAGCCCTCCAAGACTCCAGGCTTGTTGCCTGCAAAGAGTGCCAACATCACCAGTATGAAGGCCACGAAGGAGCAAAGTAGTGGCACTGCCCGGAAGGCATGCCTAGTATCAAATGACGAAGTCATTGTGGGTCAGAATGGTGAAATGTGGCCATAGGGAAAGTGTTGTTTGAAAGGAAGCGGCCGTAGTTGGGTGCCGAGCAAAGGTGGTATAGTAAGGTAGTCAATAATATAGTAAGGTGGCCCAAAGGGCTTAAAGGAAGAGACCAGCATTATATGCAGATCTTGTATGACTACGTATGATTATCAACAACCCATTAAGAAAACCCGTGATCGCTGTAAAATTCCATCCCGATGGTTGATGGCCTGGTGATACTGTAAGGGGAGGTCATGCTGTCTTGGTACGGACCGTACGGTGGCACCTGGAACTCAGAAACTCTGGAATCAATGACAGGCAGCCTTGAACTTGACGGATTTAGAATGGGTTTCTTTGTTTCAATTTCAGAGGACTGGATGCTGAGGCTGAGGGGCAAAATTGGTTAGTTAACACCGGGGCCATAAATGCTGAACTCGCCAATCTCCGATTAACAATGAAGGTATCCCGAATCCCGGGCTCCCGGGGTTCCGGAGGCTTATCCCGGCATGATGGTAAGAACAAGCGATGGAAAACAAAGGGCACAAAGAAAGGACCGTGAAAGGGTATGATGGCTCATGGCATAATGTGTGCGGCAATGCTATTGTCCTCAGCCATTGTAGGCTTTGTTCGGCTGTTCAACGGGGCGGGATATGGGCCATTATGACAGGCGGTTTTGTTGTGATGAAGTCTTGACTGGCGAAGGTGGACGCCTCTATATCCAAACAGGGCCCAGGCAGTTACTGTCACTGTCCTGTAGATGTGCAGTCTTGATGACAGCAGTTAATCCTTACGATTTAAATATCTTAACTCTACACACCCACGACAGAAATCAAAACCTGGCCACGATGGAGGACTTAACCGACGCACTGATGGGTACAATCAAGAAGAACAACCTGTATCTTAAGAGTGGAGTGGCTGACGAGATGTGGAAGTGTGTCTTGGAGCGACAGCCGGAGCCTGGCGTCGATGGGGAGGCTACATGTACCGTTAAACACTCGGAACCCTACGGGGCCATGTCACCGGATATTGTCAAGCACTTTTCAGGCAACCCCAAGTTTTCCAAATATTTCACCTATGATTACCCGACGAAGCGCATGGCGTTACGGGCTGAGTACTGCCGCGAAACCGCGGGTTTCACCGATGCGATGACCCAGATCATGACCGTGATGAGGAGTCTCCGTCGTCCTGGGCCGTTCGGCAGCCTTCGTGCCTGTGAGGATATCAGAATGGCGAACGGCGTTTCGCAGGAGGAGTACACACTGCCTGTCATCCTCGCCTCTATGCTTGGCGTTGTCACGGAGGAGGTCGGAATGAACGTGTATTCCGAGACAGATGATGGCAAAATTATGATTCGCGTAAATGTACGTCAACCCGCAGATGGAGCGAAGCTTTTCAGATCGCTCTTGGACATAAGCAGTGTCGAGGCGAACCGGGTGAAGGCCGTTGACCAAACCTACCAGCACTTGGCGGAAAAGGGGAATTCACCACTGACGATGGACGACAAAAGCCGGTGCCCATTTTCTCTGTCGAGCCCGATCCCGAGCTCGATGCCGAGATCGGTCCCGAGGCCGATTTCTTCGATGACTTGGCCGAGTCAGGGGTTTGTTGCCCGCACCTCACAACCGTTTCTTTTGGAAACTTTACCCATAACCGCGATTTACGAATTGACCGACCAGTCTTTGGTATCGCCCGGGTATTCCATTTGAAGGGGAACGGGAACATCCCCAACGACAAGGGCGACGGCTTTGAGTGGATGACGCTGGAGGAAGTACGGACTGCGTTGGTAGCAAGGGAATTTACCCCAGCTGCCGAATTGGTTATGCTCGATTTCCTTCATCGTCACGATATGCTCGGCATCTCGATGTCTGACGAACAGAAGAAGGTCATGGAGGACGCTTTGCACCCGTTGAAGGATATGCAGCAAGCGTTTGCAGGTGCCTTCCCGGATGTTTCGATGATTGGGAACGGGTCGAACTCCTAGATGTTTTGATCATCCCAATACACGGATCCTAGTTATATAACATCTCAGCGAGTGGCTGATTATTATCGCCAAATATAATGATATAACAACATACCAACCTTTCACTTGATGTTGTGTGCTTATACAACTCCCACCTCGCCCCCATCCCAGGTGCCGTTTCCAGGCCTGCAAAATTGCGGTGAAGCACGACGCTGCAGTCACAGACCGCCGAATAACGCATATGCGGCTTGCACTAGCGACGTCACCCGATGAGACAGTGAACCGCCAGATTGAACCTGTCGGGACCTCGGGATGCGTCTTCGGATACGTCCTCGACGCCTCTTTAATTGTTGTGACTCGACTATTGCTGCCCGTTTCCCGTAGTCATCTTGTTGATGCGGTGACATGGGCTTTCGATGGTGAGAGAAGGGCCTCTCGAGGAGAAGCAAGTCTGGAGAATCTAGACTTTTGGGTTCCATTGATACAGGGAGACCTGACGGGGGTTGTGTTGGGTATCACTGCGTGGTGCGTGTTTGAGGAGTGCGGGGGAGGGGCAACGAGACCCACTAAAATTTACCCCCCGTTGTCGGAGGTTGGCCACCTGTTGCCCATTGTCCCGCGATTGAGTCACTTCTGCTGAGAAATTTCGTGCAAATCGGTATAAGCCAGGTCGAGTCCCGCCGAATACGTCAAACCACGCCGAGTGCGTCCACTTCCTTCTTTCCAGGACGGACTGTCAGTCGACAATTGGATTAATCCCTCGACAATGACCCAACTACCAGACCCCACGGTCGACCTCGACTGGTCGGGCTACGTCGGCTCAATCCAGGAGCATTTCAAGGCCCAAGCCGAGGCGCACCCCGAACGTCCTTGTGTCATCGAGACCAAGTCGTCTACCACGCCCGAGAGGAGTTTTACCTACCACCAAATTTACGAGGCTGCCAACACCCTGGCCTGGTATCTACACAATGCCGGCGTTACCAATGGGGACGTGGTCATGATCTGGGCCCACCGCTCCGTCGACCTGGTGGTGGCCCTGATGGGCATTCTGGTACAGTCTTCTGTTTCTCTTTGCCCGTATGTGGAATGAGTTCAGTCTTCTAACCTTTCGGATTAATTCTGTAGGCTTCTGGCGCGACAATGACCGTGCTCGATCCCGCCTACCCTCCGGCAAGACAGCAAATCTACCTCGAAGTCTCCCAGCCCCGCGCCTTACTAAGGATTGGCCGAGCCACCGACGAGAACGGGCCCCTGGCGCCCTTGGTTCAGAAGTACATCGATGACGAACTATCACTCAAGACTGACGTTCCTGACCTCCGACTCGGGGACGACGGTGTGCTCTACGGCGGCGAAGTTGACGGCCAGGATATCTTTGCTAGTGTGAGGCAACTCGCGTCCTCTCCTCCCGATGTCATTGTCGGCCCTGACTCAAATCCTACACTCTCCTTCACATCTGGCAGCGAAGGGCGCCCCAAGGGTGTATTGGGCCGTCACTTCAGCTTGGTGAAGTACTTTGGTTGGATGGCTGAGCGCTTCAGCCTCTCCTCCAAGAGCCGATACACCCTCCTGTCCGGAATTGCCCATGATCCCGTGCAGCGTGACATCTTCACGCCCTTGTTCCTCGGGGCGCAGCTCCTAGTACCGTCCAGAGAAGATATTCAGCACGAGAAACTCGCCGAATGGATGCGCGAGCACAAGCCAACCGTCACACACCTCACACCAGCCATGGGCCAGATTCTGGTAGGCGGCGCTTCCGCCGAGTTTCCTAGCCTCGAGCATGTCTTTTTTGTGGGCGATGTGTTGACCACAAGAGACTGTCGTGCCCTCCGTCGCCTGGCCGCCAACGCCAACATTATCAACATGTACGGGACAACCGAGACACAGAGGGCCGTCAGCTACTACGAAATTCCGAGCCGGACAAGGGAGCCTGACTACCTGGACAAACTTAAGGACACCGTCCCCGCCGGCAAGGGGATGCAGAACGTCCAGCTACTCGTCGTCAACCGGGAGAACCGAACCGAAATGTGCAAGGTGGGCGAGGTGGGCGAGATCTTTGTCCGGGCCGCCGGTCTTGCTGAGTGAGTCTTCATCGTCGTTTGGTGGTTACCGATAACTGACCAAGATCATCCCAGAGGTTATCTGGGAGACCAAGCGTTGAACGAACAGAAGTTCCTCATGAATTGGTTCGTCGACAACCAAACGTGGGTCGACGCGGACCTGAAGGCCAGCAAAGACGAGCCCTGGCGGCGCTATTACAAGGGGCCTAGGGACAGAATGTACCGGACAGGAGACCTCGGACGCTATCTCGAGTCAGGAGACGTCGAATGCGTCGGCCGTGCTGACGACCAGGTAAAGATTCGCGGCTTCCGCATCGAGCTGAACGATATCGACAGCAATCTGAGCCAGAATCCTCTCATCCGCGATTGCAAGACTCTCGTGAGGAGAGATCGTAACGAGGAGCCTACCCTCGTGAGCTATATCGTTCCCGAAAACAAGGAATGGCAACGCTGGCTCCGTGACCGCGGCCTGGCCGACGTCGAGGATGCAGGCGTCGAAATGGGCTCTGTTACAGTCTTCCTGAAGAAGTACAGGAGGATGCAGACCGAGGTGCGCGACCATTTGAAAACCCGGCTACCGACATACGCCGTGCCCACCATCTACATCGTCCTCAACAAACTGCCACTAAACCCCAACGGAAAGATTGACAAGCCAAACCTCCCCTTCCCTGATGTTGCTGAGCGCGTCGAGGATGCCTCAGAGGAAGACCTGAAGAGCTGGGAGTCCCTTACCGAAACCGAGCAGACTGTGGCACAGCTGTGGGCGGATGTCATCCGCGGCTTGAACCCAAAGACCATCCAGAGGGAGAACGGGTTTTTCGACCTCGGTGGGCACAGTCTGCTCGCCCAACAGTTTCTCTTGACCGTTCGTAAGAGTTTGGATACCGATGTCCCGATCAACACACTCTACGAACACCCTAGCCTAGCCGGTTTTAGTGCTCAGGTTGACAAAATCCGGACCAACGACACGAGCGCTGTGGGCCCTGAAGCCGGGGAGGCTGCCTACGCCAAATCCCTGGATGAGTTGCTGCATCAGCTACCCGAAAGGTACCAGACCGCCGACAGCGGAGCGCTCGGTTCGGCTGAGCAGCTGACTATCTTCCTCACCGGTGCGACTGGCTTCTTGGGATCCTATCTGGTGCGCGACGTTCTTGAGCGGACGGCGCGGAATGTCAAGCTCATTGCACACGTTCGGGGTGTCAAGGAGCCGTCAGCCGCGCTTGCGCGTCTCCAGAGATCCCTTCAAGGATACGGTCTGTGGAAAGAGGAATGGGTAGGGAGGCTCAGCGCTGTTGTGGGCGACCTATCCAAGCCCCAGCTGGGTATGGACGACGCCACATGGCAAGCACTTGCGGAGGAGGCCGATGTCGTAATACATAACGGCGCCACCGTCCACTGGGTCAAGCGGTACCAGGACATGATGGCAGCAAACGTTCTCTCCACCGTCGACGCTATGCGGCTGTGTAACGAAGGGAAGCCGAAAGCCTTTTCCTTCGTCAGCTCGACCAGTGTTCTAGACACGGACTATTATATCCATTTGTCAGACCAACAAACTAGCACCGGCCAGGGGGCCATTATGGAGGAAGATGACATGAGTGGGAGCCGATCCGGCCTTGGCACGGGCTACGGCCAAACCAAGTGGGTATCCGAGCAGCTAGTCCGAGAGGCCGGCAAGCGCGGCCTTCTTGGGTCGGTCGTAAGGCCCGGCTACATCTTGGGCGACTCTGAAACCGGCGTCTGCAACGTTGATGACTTCCTCATCCGCATGCTCAAGGGCTGCATCCAGTTATCCTCTCGGCCCCACATCATCAACACGGTCAACGCTGTCCCAGTCAACCACGTCGCGCGTGTCGTGGTCGCGTCCGCTCTCAACGCGCTACCGGGCGGTGTCCACGTCGTCCACGTCACGGCCCACCCGCGCCTGCGCATGAGCGAGTACCTCTCTATCCTCGAGTTCTACGGCTACACGACGCCCGAGGTCACGTACGCGGCGTGGAAGGAGGAGCTCGAGAAGTTCGTGTCGGCCGGCGCGTTGGAGAAGGACCAGGAGCAGCACGCACTCATGCCCCTGTACCACTTCTGTATGAACGACCTGCCGGCCAACACGCGCGCCCCTGAGATGGACGACCGGAACGCCGTGGCTATTCTCAAGGCCGATGCGGACCGCTGGACAGGTGTCGATGACAGCACGGGCCACAGCGTCAGCAGGGAGGATGTCGGCAGGTATCTCGCGTATCTGGCCGAGATCAAGTTTGTTGGCCGCCCCAGCGGGAGGGGCAGGGCGCTGCCGGAGTTGAAGCCCGAGGTGTTGGCCGCGCTGGCCCTGGGCGCCACTGGTGGGCGTGGCGGTGCGCCTTAGACGGAGTGGGTTTTGTTAGAGATAGAGAAAAGCGATATGTGTGTATGTTGGGCTAGTTGGAGTGGTAGAGGGTTTATGCTACAATACATCAAAGAGGACATCAAGGGGTGCATCATCACGGATACCACTAACATTTACCCTTGCACTACCGCCCGTTGCTGTTTCCTTCCACAACCACTCACCACACACCCCAACCCGCTCAGAACTTGTCCCAGTTCGCATCAAACTTCTTGAGCGTCTCCTTCGCCACCCTCTCCCCAAGCGCCACACCCTCCACCCCAGCAAAAGTGAAGTGAATCTGTGTAACACCGCAAGTCAGCGAATCCCATCACAAGCCGAACCCAGTCTCAGAAAGGAAGAAAAAAAAAAAAAAAAGAAAAGATAAACTCACCCCGCCAAACACACGACTCGCCGAATTCTCCTCCGCCGCCCCCTTCAAATCCGTATACGTCCTCGTAATCACCCCGCGCGCATCCAGCGTGACGTTGCTGCTGACCGTCACGCCTGTTCCCGCGATCTTATCTTTGCCGCCATTCCACGCGCGGAGTACGGCGGCGGCCGCACCGCCGAAGGTGGAATGGGTTGAGACATAATCAGGGTGGCTGGGCGTGGGTCGGAGTAAAGGGGTCCAGGAGGGGGACGAGATGTCCGCACCGGAGTGGACCCAGGGGGTCGGGTGGTGGATGGCGGTGACGGGGCGCCAGCCGAGGTAGGTGTATCTGTGGAGGGGTTAGTCAACATTAAGGGGGGGGGGAGGGGGGGGCGTTTGGTTATTGGCGGGGTGGAAGGGAGAGGGCAAGAGGGGAAAGGGGTTGAAAGGGCTCAGGGGGGGAGAAGGGGCGACAGACTTGGCGTCCCAGGAAGCGATGCCGGCGTTGGCGAGCGCGTAGTTGAGCTGGGCGTAGAACTTGGCTGAGTCGAGGACCTTGGTTGTGTAGGCGTCGCCGACAAGGGCGCCGGCGAAACGGTTCCAGAGACTAGGGGGTGGTTAGTGATCGGGGGTTCCTTGTCACCGAATGGGATGGACTCTCACTCACGTTATGGAGGACTCCCGCCAGAAGTAGGCCGTGTCGGTGTCATAGGCGGTCCTGACACTGGACTCGAGCTCGCCTTGCGCCTTGACGTAGAGAACCTGCTCCTCGTATTCCTTGGAGTTGGTCTTGGGCGGTGGAGGGGGTCGGAAACGCGTGATGTCGCCCAGGGCGGCGAATGGCTTCACAAATTGAGCCTGCGGGGTGTCTGGGTAGAGGTTGGCGCCGGGGCTCTGCTGATACACGCCCGGTTCTTTGGGGCCGTAGGTGAAGTCGAGGAAGTTGGTGATCTTGTCGTCGGCGCGGGCTTGAGCAACCGCAGCTGCTGCATTCTGGCCGGTTTTGACCGCTTCCTTGCCTTTCTTGGAGTTGGGGTCGAGTCCGATGGCCGGGATGATGGCTCGCAGCGAAGCATCGACGGTACCATAAAGGCGGCTTCCGTGGAAGACCCAGAGTGCAGAGTTGTGGGCTGCGTGAGAGACAGCCAGCTGCTGGAACTCAAGGCTTTCGTGCTTTGACTTCACTGCAGCTTGGTAGATTGCAGCCTGCACGATGGCCTGGTACCATGCTGAAGGCGGCGACTGCAGACCCCCGATGACGGTCCCGTTCACAAAAGTCGCCGACTGGTCCACCCTTGTCAAACGTTAGCAGGAGTCACCACCATGTGGAGTGGGAAACGCCATGGCATGTACCAGTAGTAAACAATGTCCCCGGGATATGCGGCTTTGACGACAGTGGCAGCAGTGGCCAGTGCCAGGAGAGAAAGCTTCATCTTGATACGTTGAGAGCAGGGCCACTCCAACACTGATAAAGTACCGGCTGAGCTCGTTTATCCCTGGCAGTGGTGAAGCACGAGGATGATCGTTGTATTTGTATTGCCATGATGAACCCGTCACTGTCTCGGTAACCGGGTTTCCGGATGCTGGGTAAGCAATGGCGCGAGCTGCAATGGTGATTGTCAATACCAAGAACCCCAGGACGAAAATACTTGTCTATGCCCGGTGTGATGATGCGATGTGACATCCCTTCAGCAAGTCAAAGTTCCTGCCTTTTTAGTCATCTTGGCGCAGTTAAATGGTAGGACATCCCGCGGCAACCAGTTGACGCAACTTCTTGTCCCAGGGGTTCGAGCCATCCGGGAGAGATCCGCACTATGGCGCCATTTTGCGGCGTCTCTTAGTGCGTGCTACAACACTGATTTGGGGAATGTCGATATCCACATGGGTGTTTTATTGGCGATCACGATCTTATGGCGCGGATGCTGAATCTTGTCAATGGTAAGCAGCTTTCTGGTGGAGACCCCCACGTGCCCATCTGTTGCCGAAGAACAGAGTAGCATCCCGTCGAGTATCGGTACAGAACGATGCCAGGATGGGTAAACACTCCGAGTCTCGTATCAAGTGATCGGTCTTGTCTAGACTCATTTGAGCTAGAGAGCGATCCACAGCCTGGAAAAGACAAAGACTGCTCATTGCAATAAAACTATCCTCACTCACACCTGGTTTGTGGAGGGGAAACATCTCTTATCCACCGAGACTCGATACTCAACACGTCACTATCCTGTGGTAAGCTCTCGAGTGACAAGACTAATGTTTGATGGCTAGGTACCTAGGTATGTACTGCATACCTACCTAGGCAAGTAGTCAAAATCTAGGATATGTCTCATTAGAGCTCACCTACCATTCCATAGGCCATCAACCATTGATTTACCTCTCCAGCCTAACTTTTCTTTATCAGAATCATAGATAGTTACCCAGACACGCATTTATTGACTAGGTTGATTTCGTTGCTTCCAAAAGCTCAAAGCTGTAAAACCTTCTTTTTTCATCATAAAAAACCCAACGTAACCCGGATTTTACTGAACCAGCACTAGAATGGAGGGGTATCTGACAAGGAGGCTTCACCGAGTGTCTGTGTTAACAAATCGGTGACAGAGAATCCTTGGCTTGCCATGTTAGCTTGTAGTATTTATACGTCGAGGACTTGCAACATCCCCCTCCAACTTGCTCACGTCGCCAAATCAAACTCCTTCCCGCGTGACATCCCCGTGATCACCGGTCTTTCTTTGCGTCCCCGAATACAACCACCCAACGTTACTAGGGTCTCGATCTATGGAGCGCATGCATCTGCCGGGCCAGACACGCTTCTTCTGAGTCCGCTGCATGCTTTTAGATTACCTCTCCCTTTCCAGGCGTCAAAGCCCCAGCCGCCTTTTGGTATAAGATGCGCCCGTTATGATTTGGAGATTGCGACTTAATTTTACGGGAATGGCACCTCGGGCGTCAGCAACGGGTGGCAGCTTTAGCCGGGCGAACCCGGACCTCAGCTCACTCATCCCGTGCACAACTGTGTCCCGGATCAGCGTTTGCAGGGAGGATGTTCGCCTGGTAACTGTTCTAGAACGCCTGAACCACAATGTGGTTAACGTGATTGACAGAGTATTCATTGTTGACGCCTAGTTATGATACAGATCGACCATTGCCACATCGTCAGAAGCCTGGCCATGGACAGGGCACAGCTTTCAACCCAGTTCAGCCCAGGCCCAATCAACCATAGGGTGGAAAGTGCTCCGTGCTAGAAGACTTCCCCATATGACCTACTAACTTAACCAGCCCCTTCACCCGTACCGTTACACCAGTTCCCCACAAGGATCCCTTCGCTCGGTACTTGAGAATGTGCCGTTACTGCAACTCCAGGTTGAGCTGATAATAAATATGCCGACCTCAACCGATTAACATCCCGGGGAGTGGTTCCCATGGTGTGTGCTTTCATTCCAAAGCCATCACCTCTTATACTACGTCGCTGCAAACATATAAGCGCCGTCCCAGAAACAAGTGGCCCACCATGAAGATCCCAGCCGGCGCAGTGTTGCCGCTGGCTCCTTGGATTGCACCCAAGGCGGCACTAAGAGGTGTCCAGGATGTCACTTCCGAGTCCGCTCGGGCAGTCATCCGTGCTGCCGGCGCTGGTTCCACCTGTGAATGGTTCCCGCAACCGATAGACCACAAGAACCCGGACCTCGGAACCTGGCAGCAGCTGTACTGTGTCAACCCCCAGTGGTGGGCTCCGGGCGCTCCGGTAACCTAACCCCTGATCCATTTCACCCTTCCGGGCGTCTGCTAAAACCCACCGGCAGGTCGTTGTAATGACGCCAGGAGAGATGCCCATTACATCGGCCATTAATTCCGGCTTTGGTTACTCGTATTTGAGCAACACGACCATGTCCGGCACGTACGCTGAGACTCTCGGGGCAGCAGCGGTTGTGGTTGAGCGTTCGTATAGTATCCGCCAGCTGAGATAGTTCACTTATGCTAAGCCCAGCCACAGATCGGTACTTCGGCGGATCCTCTCCGTACGATGGGTTTGACTCCGAAACCCTCCAATACCTCACCATGGAGCAGGCAGCAGAAGACATTGTAAACTTTGCCAAGAACGTTGTCTTCCCATTCGACAAGGAGCAGACCAGTGTGGCCACCAAGACGGTAAGTGGAAACAGCCCGGGTACATAAGAGCATGGCTGACGAAATCGTAGCCCTGGGTATACTGGGGAGCGTCCTACGCAGCAACACTCGGCAGCTGGATTGAGCACTTCCACCCCGGCGTCTTTCACGCTTTCCACCTTAGCAGCGCCACCGTGGAAGCCAACACTGATAACTGGTATTACTATGACACCATCAGAAAGGGAATTGATGCCTACCGCAACGACACGAGCTGCAGTCTCGCTCTCACTGAAGTCGCCGCCTTTGTTGATAGCATCCTCTTAGAGTCCCCCCAAAACCAGACGAAGGTGGACGCACTGAAGCAGTATTTTGGCGCCACGTTCCCCATCGCCGATGACGATTTTGCCTAGTGAGTCGGCTTTTTAGCCCCTTGATTCCATCACCCCAGCATTAACATGTCCTAGCGCGATCGCCACTCCATTCCGATACTGGCAAGAGACAGGCGGCTACCGTGACGTCCTCGAAATGTGCGACTCGGTCGTCGTTCCATCCGACATCGAACAGCACAAAGTCCTCGGTCCCCATCTCCGCCTCGGTGGGCAACTACGCGGCCTACTTCCGGTTCAACTTCCGCGATTCCAGTAAGCCAGATCACTCCCAAGTTCAGAGTTTCCCCATTTAACACACCTATTCTCCCCCCCCCCCCTCTCCACAGCATGCACCTACTTCGACACCTGGGGCCAAGACGACCCGCTCTGGTGCCTCAACACGCATGACCTGCTCAACCCATTCTTCGAGGCGCGCACGCTGGGCAACCCCTGGCGGACGTGGTATTGGTTCCTGTGCAACGAGCCGCTGGCGTCGTGGGCGACGGGCGCGCCCCCGGGTTCCCCTTCCATTGTCTCCCGCAAGATCGATTCCGCCTACTGGCAGCGCCAGTGCGAGATGCATTTCCCGCCCGTCGATGGGCTCAAGTATGGTAGCTCGAATGGCAAGACGCCGGATAGTTTGAACTTGGCGACGGGCGGGTGGGGCAGGAATTCGACGAGGGTGATTTGGACTAGCGGGTGAGTACTTCTTTCTTTCTATTGGGTCTGCTCTGTCGTAGGCGGTTGTGGTTTGCTGATCTTTGTTACCTTGAAAGTGAATTTGACCCCTGGAGAGCGACGGGCATGTCAAGCGAGGTTCGCCCCGGCGGCCCGCTCGAGTCGTCTGACAATGTGGCCGTCTTTGTCATAAAGAACGCCGAGCACTCTGACGATGCTTTCACGCCGAGGGCGCTAGCCAATCTGGGTATAAAGGTTAACCCGGACGTGGTCAGGGTCCAGGAGCAGTCGATCGAGCTCATCAAGAAATGGGTAAGCCAGTACTTGGTGAGCAATGGGGGGGCGTAGGTGACGAGCTTGGAGTTTCAAGCGGATAGGGGGCTTCAAAATTAAGTTGGATTGCCGAAGGTGAGTGGAGTGTATAGCTTGACAGGACGCTCATAATTTACGATGCTTATTTGACTATTGTATCACGATTACTGCCTCCCGTCATGCACCGTTGTTCGTGCTGCGTAGACTCGATGAGGTACACAACAGTGACCGATCCTTGTTAGGTCACTAACCTCGCATAATATTTTTCGGTACCATTCGTCGTTGGAGGGATACTGATAACCCATTGTACGGAAAATGTAGCCTGGGCCTAGAATAGAACACTTATTTTCCTCATTGAAGTGGCTAATTCAGGGGTAAAACTCAGGGGCTAGGGTTAGGGTTGATACCAGAAGCACTCTGAGGGAAAGATGTGGGCGATACACAAGCTGTGCCGGTAAGAAGTAATGGGAAGTTAATGGGGAACAAGTTATTACACCCAGCTTTGTTAATTGTTGGCCTGTAAGCTGGGGAGTGGCATGGGTATTAAGGATGAAGCGTGGCCAGAATCATCCCTAAAGTGGTTTCGACAACCATAACAAATCTGCAGCCTACGACTAGGCCATGGCAGGTAAATTACGGTTGTTGTCTCGCACACTAACAACCAGTAACAGGCGCAAAGCGGAGATTGTCAAGGCTCAAAAAGGATTAAACAAGCCTCCAACACCTCCCATGAAGATCCCTACAGCCCTCCACAAATAACCAATGCAGAATTACATGACATCGGCATAAAACGAACGTAGCCGGCTCAGCAAAGAAGCGAATAAGAAGAAGGATGCAGGAAGACGAAGCAGAATATACCTAAAACAATGCTGTTACCAAACCAACCAACCTCCCAACCTTCCCCTCCCCAACTCCTTCACCAAACCCCACCACCTCCCATCCATCCACGGACGGCCATCTCACTCATTCAGTCCGTCCGCGAGCGTTTTGCACCACTTACACTCGCTGCGCTCCCCATGACATCCGTCTGCACCTCCACCTCCGGCACCTCAACGCGAGGCGTCGGCGGTGTGGGACAGGCCTCCTCACCAGTAACAACACGCGCGGCCGAAGGCCCCCGCCCAAGCAGCTCAGCACCAGCATCCTAAGCCATCTGAGCGGCGGGCTTGACGCCACGGCGACCGAGCAGGGTCGCGCCATCCAGGTTCAGCTCAAAGGCGCCCTTCTGGCGGTTGCGCTCCCGTACCTGCTGGCGCGCCGCCGCAGCGACGGTGGCCGAGTGTTGCCCGTAGCCGCGCTGCTCGGTGGGGGCGACGGCGGCGGGTGGTGGGTGGGCCTTGCGCTCGCGGTCGCGGCCGCGCGACTGTTGTTCCTGGTCGCGGATCTGCGTGTCCCGCATGCTTTGCTCCAGCTGCTGGGTCGAGCCCGCAGCACCCCCCTCGGCCATCTCTTCGTCCTCGTCCTCGTCCTCGTCGAGCCCGCCGAGGCGCGACACGCCACCAGCCTTGGCGCCGACCTGCTTCCGGCGCTTGCCCTCCTCTTCCTGGCGATGGACGGCGTAACCGACGTCGAAGACCTCGCGTAGGTTGACGGCGGCGGGGGAGCGGAAGTCGTAACGCTTGTCACCGTCGACGAGCTTAGTCATGTCGAAGGCCCGCGCGGGCTTCTCTCCAGCGGCGAAGGCCGCTTTCCTTTCGTCACGCGGCGTGGGGCCCGACTCGCGGATCCAGGGATGGGCGAGGAACTCCTTGATCGTATAGCGCTTGTCCGGGTCGACGCAGAGCAGGTGCGAGATCAGGTCCTGCGCTGACTTGCTGATATCGTCCCACCAGGGAGAGAGGAATGTGTACTGCCCCTTGGCGACCTTCTCGGTAAGCACTTCGATGCTCTCATCGTAAAATGGCGGGAAGCCGCATAGTAGAGTGTACAGCACGCAGCCCATGGCCCACATGTCTACTGACTTGGAGTAGCGTTCATCCTTGACGATCTCGGGTGCTGTGTACCCAACGGTGCCGCATGGTGTCATGGTCTGGTTATCCCAGACGATCTTGGAGAGACCAAAATCTGCGATTTTGATCTGCCCGATACCACCTCCGCCAACCCCCTTTATGAATTCGCCCTCGTCGACCTTGTCTTCGTCCCCGGGCTGTTTGGGCTTGGGGTTCTTTGCAGGAGTAAAGGGGATGGGGCTGAAGAGAATATTTTCCGGCTTGATGTCCCTGTCGAGGTTGTCAGTACACGAGAGAGCAACACGGCCAGAGAGGGCAATCCTACCGGTGCACGATGCCCCTCTCCTCATGTAGGTACTCCAAGGCGTTCGCCACTTGTGTGATGACATGCCGTGATAGATCCTCGCTGAAGTAGGTCAGGCGCACGATCTGATGGAACAATTCGCCGCCTGGGGCGAGCTCAAGGATGATGTAGTAATATTGGCGAGACTCGGCAAAGTCGATGAGGCTGATGATGTTAGGGTGGTCGGTCTGGCGCATGATTTGTACCTCTTTCAGGATGTTTGCCCTCTGCAACCGTGGTTAGCGGCCATCTCATAACACAACAGACCAATTGCAGCATCTCCGGCGCTTGACTCGGGAGGTGAAAAGCAGGGCACCGACAGCCTTGAAGTTGCCTCGACGTCACCGTTGGTGGATTGCTGCCCGCACACATATAGGACAAAGAAAAGGAGGAACCTCGCACCTCTGCGGCCCTTGGAGCCTTTGGCTTAAAGTCGGGATGAAGATGTCTGTTACCCTAGAGTAGGCCCTAGTGTCGGTAAAGGGCGCCTGGGCAAAAGAAAACGGAAAGGAAAATGCAGACATAGGAAAACAGAGAGGCGAGACAACAAGATGGGTCCCTCAAAGCCACATACCTGCATGCTGTTCATCTCGAATTTGCGGACAACCTTGATAGCAACTTCTCCGGCGTCCCCCTCACGATCCCGAGCGCGGTAGACGTTGCTGAAGGCGCCGTCACCCATTTTCTCGAGGAGTTCCCATCGCTCGAGGCCCGGGTACTGCGGGAACATGCTCTTGCTTGCATTCTCCTCAGCTACCAGCTTCGCAATATTCTCGTCCGGAATGCGCTTCTGTTGTTTGGTTTTAATGTCTATGGCCTGGGGCTGGGCGGGGTCGTGGTGGGCGGTCGTGTATTTCGCAGCAGTGGATGTGCCGATTTCGGGGTCTGTGTTTCGCGCCGCTGTGGTGCTCTTCGAGGCCGGTTGTTGTTTTGACGGCGAGCTATCGTTTTTCGAGCGCGGGGGTTCGTCAACCACACGGGCTTGCTTGCCTGGCACCATGATCATGACATCAGTCCTCGTTCATCCGAAAGGTGTCCCGTATCTAGGCTGCAACAAAAGGGCCGACCCGCGCGCACGCACACCCGGCCGCTCTTGCCTTCCGGAACTGGTGGGGAAAAACTTACCATGGCGGATGAAGTTCTTCAGTTGCTGTATTGTCGACATGGTGGGCGTGTGCGACCTTGGTCTCCCACTTTTTCCCTTTTTTTTTTTTTTAATTGTGCGCCTGTGTTTTTTTAAGACAGCGGTGGAGGGGCACTGAGCTGGGTACAGCAGAGTCGGACGGGATGACACCGTTTAAAACTGGGGATCGGCACAGCAGCGAAGCGGCGTCAAATATCGTCGAAAAAAAAAGAAGAAAACCAGAACAGTAGAACCCCAGAAGATCTCGAATGTGAACAGGCTGCGCGCTAGACAGTTGGGGGACGGAAGAGGCGAAGCGATAACAACGGGTTGTTTGCGACTGCACGAAATGGACGACGACAGGATGTCGTTGGTGAATGAAAGAGGTGGTGCGAGAACTGAGCTGAATATGGCAAGAGGCCGGCGTAGTGGGGATTACAGCGGATGAGGGAGGCTTTAACAGGATGCGGGAAAGAGCAGGGTTTTGATGCAAAAGCCGGTAAGGTTGGAGGCCGGGACCAAACTGGAAATAAAGGCGGGCTTGTGGCGGCGGGTAAGGGTTGAGGTCAATGACTGCAAACCAAGGCACTGATGTGCAGAGGATGTAACCGATCAGTGGTGGGCGGGGGGTGGCTTAAGAGATTTCCTAAGGTAATGTGTTGTGTTTCGATTTTTCTCAGGCACCCGTTGTCATCATCGTTTTCATCATCGGGCGAATCTGGCTGGGCCCCAGGGGACGATGAATGGCGAATGGGTCACCTGGTGAGCAGCCGGCGACCTGTCCGAGACAACTCGGGCGACAAACCACACTACTGTACCTACTTTGATGACTTGGGGCCGGAAAATACCTAGACTAGCGACTGATGGATGTAAAGCGTTTGCTCCAACGATGAGACGATGCAAACTTTGCAGCGGGACGGAGCGGGTGGGAGACCTCCCTTCTAGCCCTTTTCTCGTTCAGCCTTCCAACACGACGCACCATGGCAACCAAGAAGGAAAGCTTTCAAGGTTATGCAGCTTGGCGGAGGCGGGCAGATGCCCTGGGAGCCTGGCTTTCACAGCTGGGCATTTCCAGATCTGCCAGATTGGTGCAAGGGGCTCTCGCAATGACGTAGGGCGCAGCGTCATGGCTCCTGGAGCGGAGATTAGCGCGGGCCTGGCATCAGCTGCGTCACCCTTCCCCCAATGGGGAGCAGGCTGCCCTGCATTGTGGGTTCACAGGGGAGTCTCCCATCCGCACCTGCTGAGAAAGTTTTGTTGCTTTCCAGGCTTTGCCCAAGCCTCACAGCTGCCTCGCCAGCGACCGTCCCGAGTCCTCCGGGGGCGCACGCCTTGTCGGGTTGTCAGGATCTCCAAAAACACGCGGCGGAGGTGGTGCCATTAATAATACTCGGAATCCCGCCATTTTCCGATGACCGTTCCATCGTTCGCTAGGATTTGCATCTCGCACTTTGACGACTGCTCAAGCTCCCTTTACCCCGCATCGTCACTGCCAAGACGGCAACGGCACTCTTTTGACTTTCTCCGGCAGTCCGGCACGTCAGAGGGAGGACCCTGAGTCGCGCGGCCTGCGGGCCGTCCAATAGTTGTCACGGAGAGAAAGAGAGAGAGATCTAAATAAAGCCCACGCCACTACTTTTCGATACAATACATCGCCATCTCGCCGGTGTCACGACAACTGCCCCGATCCCAATTGTTAACGTTACCCGGACCTGGGTTTCTTCTCCACGCCTACAGTTTAAACCGTGGCTCCTATCATTCACAGTTTCGAATTGCTCATTACTTGCCAAGTTGTGCAGACGAAGCTCATCACGGAATCAGTGAAACAGCGTGACAACATGGGAGGTCGCATAAAGAACCGCCGATCTGGTCTGGACCGAGGTCCGACTCCCCGATTTCGACATATCATAAATTGTGGCTTGAGAAGAGGAGCCTGGACGTCATGACTGTTACGACCGTTGTGCTGATCCGTGGCTCCCGATCCGTTTCAAAACCAATGGATCGATCCTATCATCATAAATTTTTGTTGGGTTGATAAGGGCCATCGTGCTAACTGACTCGCGATCTGGCCTCAGGTCCGCGAAACCCACCCGGAGCCACCTAAAAGCCAAAATACAGGAAGACACAATTGAGACAGTACAGATCTTTAGTTGGTCAAGACGCCCGGTCTCGCCAGGTTGGAGGTGTATGCCATGTAACCCTAGCTGCCGATAATGGCCTGAACAGGCCTGAGACAGCGGAGCGATATGGCGTGATATATCCCACCTTCTCCAACTTTTTTATATCCCCCGGGCCCCTGGCAAGCCAGGCCAGCAACCCCCGGCACATGCCCCCCCACAACTACTCCCGGTCTTCCGAGCCCCGATATCTCCACCGAAAAGGCCGGTTCGGGCCCGCATTATCCGGGGGCGGAGACCCGCAAGACCATGCGGAGCGGGGCTGATGCGATGTCCACCATGTTCGGTTGCTCCGGGCACACTCCGGCCCTCAGCGGCCCTTTGCAAGCCGAAATTGGCAGTGCCGCCATAAAAGATGTGGTAGTCACAGTCACCCTATCGAGCCTACTAGCCTACCAGCCTACGGCCACTCACTGCATGGCACTTCTGCCCCCCGCTTTCGCTAACCCCGAGCGGCATCGCAATCGCGGGGATCTCTTCTGCCAAGCCTGCATTTGTCCGCAAGACGCGCAAGACACGCAAGACGGGCGAACACGATCCCGAAAACGAGCTGGTCCAGTGAAGTGTTTACCAGACCGGAAATCCTCTTGCTATGATGCACCCTTCAAATATCAGCGGCTGTTCTCTCTGCTTTCTAGCTTGTTAAACCCCTCTAGTACATGTCGTAAGCCAACGCGTATCTTCAACTGGTACATCCAGAACCGGCGCAGCAAAATGACAATCCCCCCTCGCGTCCTTGTTGTCCTCGGCTGCGGTGGCATGGGCCTCGCCACAGCCCGGCGCCTTGGAGGCGGCCGAAAGGTCCTTCTTGGGGACTACACCCAAACCAACCTTGACTCCGCCGCCAAAGCCCTCCGGGATGAAGGCCAAGTCGTTGAAACTCACCTCGTCGACGTGGCTGACTTCGACTCGGTGCAAGCCTTCGCCACAGCCGCTTCCAAGGAAGGCCACATCGATGCTGTCGTCCACACGGCCGGACTGTCCCCAGCAATGGCGCCCCCCAAGCGCATTTACGAGGTCGACCTGCTCGGCACCGCCAACGTGATCGACGCCTTCCAGGATATCATCCCCGCAGGGGCCTCACTCACCTGCATCGCGAGCATCGCGCGCTTCAACAAGAACCCCTCGCCCGAGCTGGCCGCCCACCTGGCCTCCGCGCCCCGCGACCAGCTGCTCACCACCAAGCACCTGCTCGACATCGACGCCCCGGACCCCGAGCCCGCCGCTTCCTACAGCCTGTCCAAGTGCGCCAACTTCCTCCGCGTGCAGGCCGCCGCCCGCCCCTGGGCCGCCCGCGGCGCCCGCATCAACTGCGTCAGCCCGGGCATCATCATCACCCCCATGATCCGTCAGGAGATGGCCTCGCCCCTTGGCCCGGCCATCCAGAGCATGGTCGACTCGACGCCCATGCGGCGCTGGGGTTCGCCGGACGAGATTGCTGGCGTGGTGGCGTTTTTGGCGGGGCCTGATGCATCGTACATCACGGGCGCCGAAATTGTGGTGGATGGCGGGTTCATGGCGGGCAGCCGGGGGGCTGAGGCTAAGGAGGCGGCTTAGAGGTTGTCTACCTGTCTTCTAATGATCCTGCTCAGTAATTATTCGACTCTGAACTTTGGTATATTTTTTTGGCCAGGTTTTGAGGCGCTTTGGTGACTGAAACGCTGCGTCGCCTCAGCTCCCACCCCTTTACTTTTCGTTTCCTGATCTCCGCGGCCATCAGGTCCTACCCATGGTTCTTTGTCCAATAATTAGAACTGTTCGAGCGACATCATGGATAGGTAACAGTCGGTAGGTTCGCAAGCTGAAATATTTCTTGCCCATCTCAGAGTCGGGGACGAACCGGGCAAACTTTACGGTCAGACCTCAAAGCACATCCCGGCGACCAGGTATCGTCAATATTTTGGCCCACCAAAACGCTAACGAGGCACCTCTAGCGTTCCCGTGCCATGCTGGAGAGGTGCACTCGGCACACGGCCGCGCAAGAATCCGGGGCGAAGAAATATAAACCAGGTCCAGACCCCCGCCAAGCTGCGACTGCACAGCCAACGACCATGTGGACTGGCGGGGTGGTCGGCCCAGTTCCTACGCTGCAAGGTTGTTTCCCTCCGAGCTGCCCGGAACGGGACTGGACCAGCCAAGGGGGTCTTCCACTTTCGGTCAAGACGTCCCCAGTCTTCAACGGCTCCCCGGGATATTACCCGATCTTGGACCTCATTTGGACAAACAAGGGCACACTCGTCCCAGACCACCCAATGGCCGGAAACCAAACATGGCATGTTCCGGCTCGACCGCCAGGGCCACTCACCGTTTGGTGACACCCTCCAACATCCCCCTCTGATGCAAGCATGGATCGATCTGGCAGCGTGGAGATTCGGCATTGCTCCCTACCGGCCAGTCATTATTGGTTCTCGGAAGACCATGCTCCTAGTGATCGAAGATGGGCAACATGGAGCCAGGGCTCCTGGTCTCCCCGCTGTCTCATGAATGGTATAGGTAGTCAGTCCCGATACCTCCTATCTTGCCCTGTTTCCCTCTTGATCTTGGCCTGTTATCAATTTGCATCTTGAATGATGCAAACCCCAAAGCTTGTTTCTACGAACGGAAATCTGGCGGATCAGGGACAGGTCCTGGGAACCAGTCAGCTCTCAACATGACAACAACAAGCATCGCCAAGTCGGCCGGCTTCTGGGCAGGTGGGCTTCTTCTTGGCCTCAGCATACCGTATCTTCCGAATCTCTCATCGCCTCATCTCGCCTCCTTCATCGGCGACTTCCCCATCCCCGACCACCCCTTCGTCCTCCCATTTTTCAAAAATCAAACCACCACCACTACTACGACCACCACAGCCTCACCACCACCCGAAACCACCCCCTTCGTCTGCGACACCTCCCACGCCTACCGCACCGAGCTCGTCTCCCTCGACCCCCCTAATCATCTACATCCACAACATCCTCACCCCCTCCGAAATCACCTCCCTCCTCGCGACGGCCGAGCCCAAATTCGCGCCCTCCCAAGTGACCAAGCACGGGCGCAAGCAACAAACCAACGACCGCACGTCCAGCTCGGCCGGCCTTCCGCGCGACGACCCCGCCGTGCGGTGCGTGCTCGACCGCGCGCGCACCTTCCTGGGCACCATGCTGCGCGACGGCTGGGACGAGATGGGCCCGCCGCAGCTGGTGCGCTACAGCGAGGGCCAGCGCTTCAACGTGCACCACGATTGGTACGACGTCCCGCAGTGGGCGCCGGATGGCACCACGCGCAAGTGGAATCGCGTGGCGAGCTTCTTTGCCATTTTGGAGGATCAGTGTGAGGGTGGGGAGACGCATTTTCCGTTTGTGGAGGGGATTGTGCGGCCGAGTCCGTATGGGGAGGGGATGTGGAAGGGGGGGATGAGGAGGAAGGAGGGGGAGAGGGAGGACGAGGTGAAGCCGTTGTGGAGGGAGCATGAGGAGGGGGGGTTGGCGTTTAGGCCGGTCGCGGGGAATGCGGTGTTCTGGGTGAATTTGCATGCGAATGACACGGGGGATATGCGGACGAGGCACGCCGGTTTGCCGTTGGAGTCTGGGCGGAAGACGGCTATGAATATCTGGCCGAGGCGGTACTACGCGTACGAGTAAGGATAGGTATCTAGGTATGTACAAATGACGATACACAGCGCGGACCCCCTGGCAGGCCCCGAGGTGCGGTTTCTATGCCGACCAGACCTTCGCCCCATCAAACCAGGTCTCGACCACCTTTGCGTCCATGAGCTTCTCCTTTTCCCACTCCATGTCCACCACCACAAAGTCGGCCTTGTACCCCTTTTTGAGGACCCCTATCCTGTGGTCATCGAAGCAGCTGTACGCTGCGCCTTCTGTCGCCGCAGCCACCGCCTCGCACAACCCGAGCGAGAAATGAGGGTTCACCGTCGTCAGCATCTCTGGTTCCCGGTATGACCTCCTCGTTGTTCCGACGTAGATGTTCCCCAGCGGTGAATGCGGAGCGGTAGGGGCATCACTCCCGAGCGTAAGCGGCGCGCCTAGATCGGAGAACTCCCGGTAAGCAAACGCCCGTCCACACCTATGCTCACCCAGCAGCTTCGGCCACGCCTTCAGAATGGCCGGGTCGGCATGCACCGGCTGGATGGACGCCGTGATGCGCCCCTTTCCGAGGCGAGCAACATCCTCCTCGGTCGTCAGCTCGAGATGTTCCACGCGAGGCCGGCGTCCCGGACGAGCAAACTTGGTCAGGATATCCACCACCATCTTCATGGTCGCATCCCCGATAGCATGCAGCGCGATCTGCAACCCGGCCTCATCCGCCTTCTTCACAACCGGCTCCAACTGCTCCGCCGTCCACAGCGGCACCTCCGTATGCCCATTATGCGCGTACGGCTCCGACAAACCAGCGCGTGCAAGCATCCACGATCCCATCACAAATCACCTTGATCCCCACGATCCTACAATCCGGCGTCGTCTCAGCATTAAACTCTCCCGCCAACTCGATCGCCCTCTCCACCTGCTGCAACGTCTCCCCCTCCTCCTCGCACGGCTTCACCAACCAATACGCCGCAATCCGCATCGGCAGCGCACCCCCCTCCCCCTCCCTCTTCCTCCTCGCCGCCAACAACGCATCCCAACCCCCCTCATCCATCGCCATATCCACCATCCCCGTATACCCCGCCTCATGATACGCCCTCACCGCTGCCTCAATCGCACCCACCCTCTCCTCCATACTCGCCACGCTCGCCAAATACGGCCACACATAAGTAATATTCGCCGCCTCACTAAACACCCCCGTCACCCTCCCCGCCCCATCCCTCTCAATCACTCCCCCCGGCACATCCACCCACCCCTCCGCCCCCAACTCCTCCACCCCCGCGCTATTACACCACGTCGAATGCAGATCCTTCGAGTCCACCAGCACAGGCCGATCCCTCCCCTCCACATCCAACCCGTCCAAATCCGTGGCGTGCCGCCCCGCCGGTGTCATGCTGTGCATCCAGCCGCGGGCGAGCAGGCGCGGCGCGGCCGGGTTAGCGGCGGCGTGCGCGCGGATGGCGGCCTGGATGTCGGACAGGTTGGCGCAGCGGCCGAGGTCGAGCTTGTTGAGCGCTTGGCCGAGCAGCATCAGGTGCATGTGCCCGTCGACGAAGCCGGGGAGGATGGTGCGGCCGCGGAGGTCGTGCACGGTTGGGGGGGGGAGGGTGGTGGTGGCTGTGGTGATGGCCGCGTCGGTGGGGGCGCCGATGTGCAGGATTTGGGAGTTGTGGGTGAGCATGCAGGAGGCGAAGGTTGGTTGGCCGTGGAGGCCGGCGTTGGTGCCGGGTGGTACGCCGGATTGGAAGATTTTGCCGTTGGTGAAAAGGTGGGTTGCCATGGTGGTGGGTTTGAGGGCTCGGGATGGTTCCGGCCGGCGGTACCGTGGTGGTCAGGGAGTATCGTGTTTGACTGGAATTTGGGGGCAGAACGCAATGTGAGGTTAATTTAATAGGTATTGAGTGTGTTCTGGTGTAACAGTTCTGGGCTGGGCGACTTTGGGCACCGGCGGATCCAGGGGAAAGCCGGGGACCATCTGATCTGATAAAACCATCGATAAGCCGAGCGGCATATCCATGGGGTGTTCCTGAAAGTTCCTGGTGCGGGCCCTTCTCCGCCAGTCTCATGTCAGGACTGCCCACCAAGAGGTGGACTCGGCGAGGAGCGGGGTTGGGCTGGGCCGAGGACCGGAGCTTCGGATCAGGGGCGGGTATGCGTGCTCCAGCAAGAGGTACGAGAACAAGGTTCCAGCTGGTGAAAAAGAGGTATGGGGTTAATAATTGCTCGGGGCTACGGTTTATACTTCCAACCCCAACTTAAACTATTACCGTCGTAAGCCGAGTTTGCGGTTTGCAGGCCTTATCCTGATCCCCCTTGTTACCCCTTTCATTGCTCAGTTTTGAAAAATGTCGCGATGGGTTGTGCTCGCAAAAAGCACTATTTAATCAGTTTCGAACTTTGCCTGATTCGAACGATGAGAGAAGGCCCTGTCAACAATATGAAAGCAAGAAGACAAGCGGCATCCTAGGTTCTTACCTTGTCTAAGTGAAAAAGTAACCTTGGCATAAGACAACAGCACGTTCTGCCGATATCAGAGTGGTAGAAAATATCTACCTCGGTTTAGGCCTCCTGTATCTAAGCCATCTCAGCTGCAGCGTGGTACTACGTTGCAAGCGTGTAGCTTCCAGAACCTTACCCAACTTCGCCTCCTGATACCCTCTGCCACACCCGACACCCCTTCTCCAACGGCTCAATCACATCCACACACACGCCCGCCCAAAACCCCATATCCTCCCAATCCGCCAGCTTCGCCTGCCCCCCAATCACGCCCCGAATACACAGCGACGCCGCTCGGTCGTACAGCTCCGGCATGGGATCCACGACGGCCGTGTCATCCAGCCACTCCAGCGCCGCCGCAAGGCGCTGGTAGTACCCCCCTCCTCCAGTGGCGCCCGGGCGGGCTTCAAAGGGGGACTGGTGCCAAAGTTCGAGGAGGAGGATGCCCAGCTCGAGGAGGGCGGCTTTGGCGTCGATGACGCCCGGATGAGGGGGGACTAGGCGGCCGTTATTTTCGAAGGTGAGAGAGATGAAGGGTCGGTTGAACTCGGGGGCTTCGTGGGCGGGCGAGGTGAGCCCCTGGGTTGCTGCCGCTTGTAGGGGCGGGCGGATGGGGAAGTAGACCTCGTGTTTGGACCAGGGCCTCTGTAACCACTGGGTTTGGAACAGCTGAAGGAGGTTGGATGCCAACCGGAGGGCAAGCTGCATGCGGAATTTGAGCGGGGTTTTGTGACTTGCAGACAAGAGCGCGCTCAGCGCGATTTTGTTGCCGCTGACCTTGGTGAAGAGGGTGGTTACAGCGTTGCCGCGACAGGATACACCGATGCGTTGCTGGCGTGTCAGGACGAAGCAGGCGCCTTGACGCACCCCGAACCTGCTTGGAGCCTCGAGTGCACCACAGATGTTCTCGATAGGGAGGACATCCGGTGGGGTCTGGGACGGGGTCAGTGATGCCTCGAACGTAACTTGGATGGCCGGGGTCTCGTGTGGACCGGGTCTCGGGGATTCGGGATGCCGCGGGTCTTTGGATTCCTCGTTCTCCTCCCTGTAAACGTGCACCGCCGTCTCGTACGCCCACAACAGCCCGGCGGGACGCTGCATGGCAATCACAAGACGGAAGTCCATCAGCGGGTCGGACTGGCTCCGCTTCCGACCATGATCGAAGATGCCCGCCGCCGTGGACAATCGGTCCTCCAAGAACAGGTTTACTTCATGCTGTACGTGGCATCCCAACGTGAAACCGCGACCGAGAGCAATGGGTATATCCCCGGCGAGATCACGGATCCGTCGCAAAGCCCTGGCCAATTTTCTTGCTTTCCTAGACGGTGTGTTTGTCGCGCTGTGTTGATTAGAGACAAGGACTCTTGTAAAACGGTCAATTTGGGCTGTCGTATTGTCGAGGTCGTTGACGGCGGTGATGAGATCCTGTCCTTTAAACAACACCTTGACTCGGGACCGGATATCTGGTTTCCCTTTTGCATCTCGGTTCGTCGAGATAATGTCGCGCAGATTGCGAGAGGCGCCCTAGTTAGCTCAAACCGTAGCGTTAACAAGACTGCGTTATGAACAACAGGGTTAGTGCCCACTGACCTTGCCACCGGGGAGCAGCCCTTCGATGCTTCCGGCAATCCTTTCCAGAGTGTCGTGGCTGTCGGTCATCACCCCACTCAGAGCAGCATGATTATCCTCCCCCAAATAGTCTCGGATCTGTTCTTGTACCTGCTTGGAAAGAAGATACGTGAAGGGGTCGTCATCGACAAGCCAGACATTGTCACAACCGCTCAGGCTGGCGATGGACTTGATGTTCTCGGCAATGGTCTGCTTCTGGAGGAGGAGGGCGCGAGCGAGCTTAGCGACGTAGGCGCGTTTTCGAAAGGCCGCCAGAGTCCTCAAAATTATGGGCGCGTCAAGCACAGCGAGGAAAATGGGTAGCACGGCCAGGACAAGGCCTGCAACTTCCAATCCAGACATAGCGGTACGGTGAGGGAGGGGATACAGTCTCGCAAGGGCAACCCTTGCAGCGCATAATGGCCGATAGGGCGTCAATGCTGGTCGATTACCTGGCAGGCGATATAACGCATTGCAGTGGTTCCGTCCGCTGTCGTCAACGAGACCAACCGACGGTCAGAAACCATCACCAACGTTACGAGGCGTGGGTGAGGGGGCCCGAAGGGGACGCAGAGCGAAGACACTCACACAAGTAGCCGCAGCCTTATTCCCCAAGTTTGCACACGACGGGGAGCAATGCAGAAGTCTAGCTTAAAATGCGGGTTGTGGTCCCAAAACCAAGGTGGGATTGTGGGATTACAGGTACATATGTGGCTGGGTTGGAACCAAAACTCCTCAGCCCAACCAACTCCTGGTCCTGGATTCCATCCGTGTGGCCGCGCTAAGCGCTGGAGTGGACGAGATTAAATGCCAGCCAAAACCAACTCGCCGTGGCGCTGCAGCTCATGCGAGTCCCCGCAGCAGGCTCCCCAAGCCTACCTACCTTACTTACATGTATGCTGGATAGGTAAGGTAGGTACTGAGCCGCGAGCGATCCCTTCCAGCCTCCGCTTTCTTCCTCCTTCACTGACCCTCATTTACCACCCTCCCCTAACTCAAATCTCTTGCAGTCATGTCGGTGCCAATGCTCTCGAGCGTCGGTCTCGACATCACGCGTTGTTTTGATGAGGTCGAGGCCCTCGATCGCCAGGTCGGAGACACAAAGTACAGGGAATGGCCGCGCGCCCTGTTTGCGGCGGAATCGGACCGCTTTGAGCTATGGTCCGTTAATATGGGATTGTTCGTGCCAGGGCACGGCTCGTTGGACTATCGCATCCGAGACTCTACGAGCTTGAAGACAACCTTCGCCAAGTTTATGACAGACCTCCGGGACTCGCTGGATCAAGGTCGGGCTTTTGTCGTTTCTTCACCAACCTACATTGCTTTGAATTGACACATTTGAGTTGGCTTATAGTGCTCCAATATGGTAGTGGTGCTTTTGATAACAACGACGCGCTCGAGAGCCCTGATGATCCCGACAACCCCGACGACTCTGACGGCGACTGGACGGTACATGCCTCGGCCCCTGCCCAGCCATCAACTGAAGTCGACTCGACATTTACACTTGTCGGGGAGGACGACTCGGACATTGACCTCTTGGTTGACGGTGTGCGTGGTCCAATTGACCGCCTCTACAAGCTGTCCATCCGGGTCCGCAACCCTTCCACGAGGTTTGTCTCCTCGAAAGCCCAATATTACCAGAAAGTCGACCCCGAATCGCAGCTCGACTTTTTTACAGAAATCGAGCCATTTGACCGTGACTACGTTAGCTCACTATTTCTTGAGTATCACAAGGCCAACGCACTCCGAGACGCTCCTATCACTGAATCTTCTCCCTCGTCTGACCCTGAGTCAAGCTTAGAATATACAGTTTGGGAACCAATACGGTCGGTCCTTTCCATATACCACAATGGCCTTTTGAACGGGACGGAGTCGTTTCTTGTCAGTCGATTAGCACGGGCAAACACTCGACGCAGACGGCAGTTCGCATATTGGGCACACCACAGGGAGAAGCTCCGCCTCCACAGACACAGCGTTGTGCAGCAGGCAAGGGTGCCCATCACCTCGGCCACGGTGGCTTTCGAAAACCTCGTACTACCAACTGCAGGAGATTTGGACCCTGTCCTGATTCCTGCGGCATCCGTGACAACCGCCACCTGCCTACAAGTAACGCAGCTCACCGTCCGAGACGATCAATCCACAGTCTCGCAGTCAGAGTACGCCCCATCTTCGCACCCCGGCGTTGACGTTATTGATTTTCCGCCCCCACCAAAAGGGAAAGAAAGCGACAAGTTCTTCGAGTGCCCCTATTGTTTCACCTTGTGCCCGTCTGGATCTCTAGATATAAGGACATGGAGGTAGGTTCTCTGTTTCATGCGAATGTCCGTCCATATCCGCGACGGCTCAGTTGCTCACACTTGAAATAGGGCCCATCTGATACGCGACCTACGACCATATGTTTGCACCTACGAGACCTGCAGAAACCCCGACCAGCACTACGATACCAGGGAAGACTGGATCCAACATGAAACCACCAGCCACTTTGCAGCGTGGCGGTGTGTGAAACATGAGGGTCTGTCATTTTCGAGCGCGGAAGCACATCAGGCACACCTCGCAACCTGTCACGGGGCTGGAGGGCACGCTGAGGCTTTGTCCTCCGTTTTCAAGCCTGGCGAGTCGAGCTTCATGCACTCCGACAGGCGCTGCCCGATCTGCAACTTCTCCCTCGCGGCGGCTAACGAACTGCACAAACACGTCGCTTTGCATCTAGAGCGTATTGCCCTCTTCTCGTTGCCACGTCTCGACAGGGATGACGACGATGATGGCAAAGACATTGGCTCGCAGAGGGTTAACCTTCCGAATAACGGCTCCCGGGATGACCAAAGCATAAACCCTTTCGAGGGCCATGTTGACAATGACGTTGACGATGACGTTGACGATGGCAGTGGTTCGGAATCAAGTCGTGCAAGTCAGAGAGCTCGGGGAGATCTACTGATGGGAGACACAGCGTGGCAGGCATCTCTGTCGGAGGCTGAGAAGAAAGGGGAGGATGCCGTCGTCAAGCTGCTACTTGATACGGGCAAAGTCGATATCGATACAAAGGGTATGGGCGGCCAGACACCGTTATCATGGGCCGCTTGGAACGGCCATGCAGCCGTTGTCAAGCTACTGCTTGATACGGGTAAGGTCGATATCGATACAAAGGATATCGGCGGCCAGACACCGTTATCATGGGCCGCTTGGAACGGCCACGAGGCCGTTGTCAAGCTGCTGCTTGATACGGGCAAGGTCGATATCGACGCGAAGGATACCTACGGTAGAACGCCGCTGATGTATGCCATTGAGCACAACCGCGAGGCCGTTGTGAAACTACTCCAATCACAAGGCGATCTTGGGGTCGAGCCAGTAGATTAGAAACGGAACTGAGAAACGGAATACCAAAAACTGAGCGAGTATGCGTTCTCCACCGTTTAATTCTCAAATAAAGTTTTCAACATGTGAATCAAGCTCTGCTGTGTCAGCAAATCTGAACCCGCCGGAAAGATGAGGTGGCCGCCTGGCCCAGATTCACGTTCTCGCCCTCCCTATAGCAACGACAGCTTGCGCCCTTCGTTGTGGTTCAAAGGAGTTGTTCCTCGCGTTCATACCGAGCCCTTCCGAGCAGATAGAAAGCTTGTGTCAGCAACACTAAAATTGCTGGCGTCGCTTCGTTCGTAGTCGCACGGCCCTTCGCTACGCTACGGGGCGCTTCCTTCCTCTCTCCCGCTCCTGGCAATTTTCAAGTCCCTCTCCGGAGGACAATCCGGGTTAAGGTTGAATACGGGAGAGACGAAGCGTCAATATCTGTCCGTCGGCCAACAACTCCATTCACTCGAGCTTCTTATCCCACCTATACCAATCATTTCTATTATCGTTCCAAGCGCTGATGCATCTACACTCTCGTCGTCGCTACTTATATACCTATTGACTCCTCTGAGGGATCCTTCCCCTCCACAGCATCTAATGCCTGCAGTTGCCTGATAATAGCTCGTGATGGTGTCTCGCGATAGATCCGAGAGGTGTGCGGTGATTCTTGCTGACGTAGAATCGACTGTGACCCCTTGCCTGCTGCCTCATCAGAGTGTTTAGCGCAAATGAATCGGAAGCTGTGATGTTTAGCGAATCGGCCATCTTCCCACTTCATGGCATGCTGGATGTAATCCTGATAGGAGATCTTGCGCTGTCTAGGTTCAACGAAGTCCGCAACCCCTCGAGGAAACAGGGTCTGGCAAGCTAGTGAGAGCAGCGCATGCGTTTGGTTGAACTCGTCGAGAGGAGTACGTCGGATGGAAGGCATCTTCAGCTGATGAGCAGCCTGAGGCTCAACGGGCTGTAGGGGCACTTGCTCATTGGCGGCATTGACCTCAGCAGCCCCACCGTCGACTCGCTCTTGCAGCTGGTTCAATTCTGAGTCATGGACTAGCATATTGGGCACCTCAGCTTCGTCAACAACCTCTCCGTCCTCTTCCGGCTCTTCAACAGGGCCAGAATCTGCAGGCAAACCTTCACACTCCTCGACCTCGTGGATATTCAGCTGATCAAAGACGTTGCCGTCCTCTGGCAACTGGGAGAGGTTGTCGTAGTTCCAGGTGAAATTCCTATAGCCAGGGTAGTTGTCGGCGAGGAATCTGAGCCATGTCTCGACTGCTGCTCGACGGACTCGGAAGCGGTTGCGGAATTGTCGGTCCATCTGTTCAACATTCTCAGATCCACGTGGGCGGAGGATAACAATGTCCAAATCCTTGGGCAATAAGGGAAGCTCGGAATACACCTTTGCCCACGTCGCGCAGGAAGTGTACAATATGACCACGATACTTGTATTGCTGCCCACGAACCTGGTGCTAGTTAGTAAGTAGACTCTCTCGCAGGAAACATCGCATACAGTGAATACATTGACGCTGACGTGCACACGCGCAATGAAAAGCTCCTCCAACGGCTTTAGTTGGGGCAACTGTGGTGGGACCGGGCCAAAATCAAGCTTGTTCTCTGCAGAGAAAAAAAGGTTCCTCCTGCCGTTTCTTGTCATCCTTGTCGTGGCAGTGCTTACAAACGCCATCCGCCAAGAGCTTGATGTCAAACCAGCGCTCCTTGCAACGCAGGCATCGTTGCATGTCCTCTGCGGCAAGCGCTTCGTCGAACTCCCTCTTGATCGCAATGTCTTCGGCCAACAGCGGCGTCTCCTGGTCGTCGCCTGTAAACCGCGGACCGGGTTCGTTAAATTCTCGCGGAGGGTTTTCTTGGGGAAGATTTTGCGTAGGTGGGCGGCCAACAGGATTGCGTCCGCGAGGGCGTCCGCGAGACCCAGTTGCAATTAATTAGTACCATGTCTTGCGTGCCACAGCCGTCTCCACCGCCGCCTCAGTAGCGCCGCCTAGAACGACTATCACGTCTTCCATAGAAACAGCCTGGACTTGAAAGCGGCAGACGTGCAAACGGATGGAGTGGCGGTCGAGCGGATTGCGAGGGCTGGATGGATGGATGGAACGGATTGCGAGGGCATGAATGGTGGTGCAGTTTAGGGAGAACCCATAAGACAGGTGACGAAGTGAACTTCGAGCCGGAGCGTGCTTGTTAACCAATCAGTGATCGCGATAAAGTTTCTTATCAATTTCGCATACTAATTTCTCTTAACTACCTAACTAGTAATTTCCAAAAGTTTGAGCGCAATATTGTCCTCCGGACAGGAAAATGTGAAGTTCGAATTTCATTTCTTACAATCTGATGAAAAGGAACCAAAGCAGCCGTAACACAGAAAGCTACGAGAGGTGGCTCCAGTTGGGAAGAAAATAGATGTTCGTTTTGCGTTAGAATGATAATGGCATCTGGTTTCCAGGATACCACAAGAACCCTACTACACACGTGAACCTCCGAGTTGTGGTTGAGTTTTGGTTTCTCATAATCTACTCGTATTCCTCCCGTTCACGTTACTTTCCCCTCTCAAAATTATATCGCATGAACGAATATCACGACGTTCGCTGAGCCTATGAACAACCAAATGGATACTGCGGAATCTAGAAAACTACCTATTATAATAGTAGTAACTACCAAAGAAACTAACGCCGAACGCCAGAACCTTCCGCTAACGCGATATCCCAAGCTCTCTCTTCAAGCAACCAGACTTGCATGGCTCCCTACGCTGGCGGGAGACCTTCCTGTGCTGCTACTTCCAGACCTCGGTTTGCGACCAGTCAGTTCCTCGCCCTCGTCCAAATCAATGGCACTATCACGATGCCGCCACCCATCCCAGCTGGCATCCTTGACCTGGTCATCCGCTGACGGAACATGAGCGGCCTCAAATTGACGCAGCCGCTCCTCAAACCTGTCCTCAAACTCTCGGCCTAGCCTCAGGAACCGGATGGCATTCCGAGCCAGGACTCCAGCTCTCTCTCCCCAGCTCATGAATCGTCCGAGCCTCTCGTCTTCTGTGAGCATCTTCCCCGCCACCGGTACCTCTCCCAGCGGGAACGGGTAGTCGCTGCCCAGAACAATGCGGTCTGCACCTCCAGGGCCCAGCTTGCGGATGACATATTCCATCAAGTCCGGGTCATGGAGCAGCGAGTCGATCCAGATCTGCCCTTGACCGGCTTCTAACCCTGCCGAAGGCGGCGGTGCCACCTGTCCACTAAAATGCTGCGTCGGCGTCACACCACACGCTTTGGTGGCTACCAGATCCGGGCGGCAGTCAAAACCGTGCTGTATCCGGCCCAACAGCGCGGGAAATGCACCTCCCCCATGAGCAAAGCACAACCGCAACCGAGGATGGCGAACCAGCAACCCCGACGCCATAATCCCATGCATCGCCAGTGCCGTCTCACACGGCATCCCCACAAGCCACGAGCTCCAATACCCCCCCCACCGCTCCTTATTCTCCTTCCCCAACGCGTACCCCAACGGATGCACAAACACCGGCACATCCAACTCCTCACAAACCCTCCAAAACGGCTCCAACCGCTCATCATCCAACATCCCCACCTCTCCATCCCCCCCGTAATACGCCTTCTCAACACTCGTCCCAACCTGCACGCCCACCATCCCCCTTAACCCCACCAACCTCCTCACCTCCTCCACGGCCCCCTTACAATCCTGCAACGCCACCGTCCCCAACCCCACAAACCGGCCCGGATACGCCGCGCACACCCCACTGACATGATCATTCAGCACCCTCGCCAGCTCCCGGGCGGGGGCCGCGGGCGCATCGTAGCAGAACAGCACGGGCACGGTGCTCAGCACCTGCACGTCGACGCCCGCGGCGTCCATGTCGCGCAGGCGCGCGGCCGGGTCGTAGCAGGAGGGGGACACGCGCCGGAAGAAGGTGGACCCGACGTACATGTCGATGGCGCCGGTGGTGGCGTGGTCCGGGGAGGGGTGGAAGGCGGGCCAGGGGTAGGGTTCCGTGGGGGGGTTGGGGGGTGGGGTGAGGGCGGCGAGGTCGGGGAGGGAGGGCGGCATGATGTGCGTGTGCATGTCGATACGGAAGAGGGAGGTGGGGGAGGAGGGGTCGCGCGTGGGGTAGATGGTGGCGTTGGCGGTGGTGGTGGAGGTGGTGTTGGCGGTCGGTGAGCAGCACAGCTGCAGCTGGTCGTGGGTCGCTGCTGGCGCCATAATGTTGTTGTGTTGTGTTCTTGAGTGAGTTGAGTGAGGTAGGTTTGAGCCGAATCAAAATTAGGTGCTCGCGCGTTCTGTTGGAATTGGTGCGAGAAAGATGAGAAAGAGTGGTAGCTGCTTGCAGAAAAAGCAGCAGGAGCGATATAACATGCCAAACAATGGGTGGTAACTGCAGTGTTGTCGAGGGTAATCGTCCGAATGATGTCACGGGGAAACTCGGTGTAAGTCGACCTACCAGAAAGGGGTGAGACCCATTCGGATCCATGCCGCTGATCTCGGGAGACGGATCGCGGAACGGATGTGGGCAACAACGCGTTGTGATTGGCCAGATGCAGCTCCGTGGTGCCGGCTCCGAGCCCCGGCGCCGGCCTAGCTTAACCGCGGAACTAATCCCGGGGCGGTCCAGTGTCCAGTTCGGGATACATCGGGAGCAGAAAATGCAAGAGGTCCATGGGATGAATCCGAACAGGCAGGATGGCAGTAGATACCAGATGGAACCTACGGTATCTGAGTGCAACTATTTGAAACCACCACTTCTCCATAACAACATAACTAACCACAAATACTCATTAATACGCCGGCAAATGCAGCGTCCTCGCTACAGTAAACACCTCCCTCGAGTACTCGCCGCCCTCCCTGCCGGTGCCGCTATTCTTCATCCCGCCAAAGGGTGTGCCGAGGTCCCTAACCAGCCAGCAATTCACCCACACCAAGCCCGCCTCGATCTGCTCCCCAACACGCCTCATCCTCGCCCCGTCAGTGGTCAATAGGACGGCTGCAAGGCCGTACTCACTGTCGTTCGCAAGACGGATCGCATCCGCCTCGTCGTCGAACGGGCAGACGGTCACGACGGGCCCAAAGATCTCGTCCTTCAACAGCACCGAGTCCGGCGCCACATCCGTCAAAATGGTGGGCGAGACCCAGTACCCCTGCGTGCCGCCTTCTTCCACTGAAGGAGGGAAACTCCCCAAACTAAACGTGGCTTTCTCGTCGGCCGCCAATTGTAGATAGCCTCGAATCTTGCTGTAGTGTTGTGCACTGGCCACGGCACCCATCGTTTCTCGGAGAACATACTTCTTGGTGACATACTCGGTAAAAAGGGCGAGAAACTCTTCGTAAGCCGCGCGCTCGACGTAGATGCGAGATCCGCAGAGGCAGATCTCGCCCTGGTTTTCAAAGGCTGCGGTGGCTGCGATCCGGATGGTGCGTTCTCGCGTTGCTGGGGTCATGGAGTCGGCAAACACCAAGGTCGGATTCTTGCCCCCGAGCTCAAGGGACAGGTGTTTTCTGATTTGATGGGCGGTGGCACGACGAATGGCGATGCCGGTTTGGGTACCTCCGGTGAACGAGACGCCGTCAACCAACGGCGATGCAACAAGTGCTGCCCCCGTAGTCGGCCCGTCTCCTAGGACAATGTTGACGACACCAGCGGGCAGTTTGGCTTTCTGGAATAGTATTCCCAGTACTATGATCTGTGTCAGCGCGGTCGTACGGAAAGGCAGGTTCGGGGGTCCAAACTTACGATATGCAGACATGCTCGTGATCTCACTTGGTTTTGCCACCGCCGTACACCCGAATGCAATACAAGGCGCAATTTTCCAGGTGAGAAGGTACAAGGGCATATTCCAAGGCGAGATCAATGCAAAAACGCCGGCTGGTGATCGATGCTCGTATGTGAGGGCCACCCCATCAACCATTCGCGCAGCTGTTTGCTCATGGATAATGTATGTTGAGAAATATCTGATCGGTGTCAGGTCACTGTCACTACAAGTTTAAACACACGGCCATGGGTGACATACGAGAAGTTCGAAATGGCCCGGTCTACTTCGATTCTTGCACGCTCGAGCGTCTTTCCCTGGTCGATGCTTTCCCATACGGCAAACAGCTCGCGGTTCTCCTGGAGCAGCTCGCTGATGCGGCGAAGATAGACGGATCTCTCGCTGCGTGTGGTTTTGCTCCAGGTCTGGAACGCGGCCCTGGCATGGCGAATCGCATCCTCGACATCCTTCTCTTGTGCACGTGGAAGTCTGTAGAGGAGTTTGCCGGTTTTGGGCTCATAAGAATCGATGAATGTTGCTGTTGCATCCAAAACCGGTAAGCCAAGTTTGCCCGCAACATAATTAGGCAGGCACATCGGAGTGGGGAGGGAGGCAATGAACGAGTTCGCCTTCTCGATCGTGTCACATCCCCAGACTGCATCGGCGCTATCTATTAAGGCCTGCTGCGTCCATTCTTCCGGGTTCATTTGGCCCATTGTGTATGTGTGAGATGGTCGTGATGTATCAGTACAGTGATGGCGAAGGTGAGTGTTGATGAAAGACCGGGTTCCTTCCCCATACTGTGTTGTGTATGCGCTTGCTTAAGTTGCTTCCAGGCTGCCGGCTCCCAGTGGTCTTGGCCCTGTGGGGTTACGGCTGCCATCAGCTGTCAATTGGAGCTTCCCCAGAAGCTCGGCAATAAGCGGAGCGGATGGCGGATGGCGGGAACTGGCGGGTTAGCCGCGGCTCAGCACAAACCACCAGCCCAAAGATGATATCATCACACTTGAATCTCCAACTAAACAAACGATAACTCGAAGTTTGCTTGTATTAGGTAAACATTTTCCAATAATTGCAACGCCCCAATCTCGAATCCCTAGCGGCGCACAAATCTCTCAATGACGACCCCCAACGGCACAAGTTTCATCCTCCCCTCCGGGGCGCAGGGTCTCGCCAACTACCCGCACGCCCGCACCATCGCCAGCACAGCCAAGACAATCTTTGTCTCGGGTATCTCTAGCCGGCGAGCCGACGGGACCTTTGAAGGCTGTGAGACCAAGCCCGACGGGACGCACGAACTGGATTGCGGCGTACAGACGGCGGCGGTGCTGCGTAACATCCAAACCGTCCTCCGGGGCGCTTCCGAGGGCGTCTGCGGCCTTGAAAACGTGGTCGACGCTACTGTGTTCCTGGTGGATATCCCGCGCGATTATGCCGCCATGAACGCCGAGTGGAACAAGATCTGGCCCGACCGCACCAAGGCGCCGTCAAGGACCTGCGTCCAGGTGGCGGCGCTGCCGAACGAGAAGATCTTGGTTGAGATCAAATGCCAGGCAGTGGTGTCGGAATGGGCAAAGAATCCGTGGCAGGAATTGTGATGGGGTTGGTTGGGCGGGCGGATCCGATGATTTACGGCGATACGACGTTCAAGGGGAGTCTCGGGCGTTGTTGCCCCCAAAAGCAAAGCCACAAATCTAAGATTAAGCCACTTTCGTGTTTTCGCATGCAAATGTTTTGGTTTATTCAAAAGGGGCTGGAAGTGGGAAGGACAGGATCTCATTTGAACAGCAACGAAGGCAAAGCTATCGGTGTTGCGGGTAGGAGCTCTTGGAAAGTATAAAACAGCCGTCCCTGAATAACGGATATGGGGACACTACGATGGGTGTGATGTCAAAGCCCATACATTCAGGCTGCGCCACGTACATGAGCAGTCAGCAACCCCTTATCCGCGGCAATGCATGGCCTGTTGCAAGAGAATTCGCCCGTCACACGGTGAAAACGGACACAGCTCCCGTAAATGTAGGCTTTATCTCCAGCTGAGGGTCGGCAAATCAAATACTGGAGGTTTCCGATTTCCCAGTGGAAGCCGCAGTTTACGCTCATTGGCGGTTTGGTAGGCGGCGTAGATATTCCGGTGGTGTGGGTTGTTCCCAGGAGAATGGGCCCTTTTTTGGCCAGAAGCGTAAGTGCAGCCGCCCTAAGATTGATTGTTAAGTAGCTAGAAAGTAAGAGAGAACCTAGTTACCCCGGCGGGTGCGGCATTAACCCCAAGTTCGACATTATGATCTACTGCTTCCTATTAAACTTTTCCGCCAGAGGGCTCCTCCTCTCGTGGACACCCACATCCCAGTTTGACAAGCCCCATCGTTGGACGTTAAACACGGCGCACCACTATCAACCCCATCCATCCTTCTGTGGTGACCCAGCAGCACGGCGCCATAACCAAACTAACCACCGCCACCTCCCAGATTTGGTGCTTTTAGCTCTCGGACGCGGCCATAGTCAGCTTCACGCGCATCCTTCGCGTCCCAGACGGGAACAGTACGAGCCGAGACGACAATGAGTCGGCCATATAAAACGTGGTGACGGGGGTTGTGAAAAGGGGTGTTATAGGTAATCGAGGGCTAGGGAAGAACAAGTCCTCTTTCCCATACACAGCACAGTAGGTGTCCGGGATTCCGCGTGAATGGGTTTTTTAAGCGACTCGGGCACGCCCTCCAGACTCAACCCTTACCTTATCTACCCCTATTCTGGCTCCAGACCACTTCATGCTGTTGGTGGAGTTGTTAAACCCATCATCTTATCTCTTTGGAGGGGTAAGGGACTTTGGACGGCGATTGCCGAGTCCCTGGTTGGTTGGCAACTTCCGTCCTTCCTCGATCCAAGTAAGTTCTCGAAGGTTTCGGTGCATTAGTTCAAACGCAGGTACTAAGTATTGAAGCGATGATACCCGATGTTGGGTTGATCAGAATGCTACCAAGTCAGGACCAGCTCATCAACGCGCCTGGGCCGTATCGCAGATACCAGGGCCGAATGCAGGGTTCCATCCATCTGGCAGGGGCGATTGAGCGCCCCGCACACCAAGAAATTCAGCTCTGGGCTGAGTGAGTCTGGCGTCTGGGCAAACTCAATGCCGACTTCACTCCGAACTCAATCGCACCTCGCGCACCGCGGGGTTTCATCTCTTGGCGTCAAGAAAGCCCGGCCATCTCCGCCTTTTGCACGGAATACCCCAGTTTGTCGCTCGGAACCACCGAATCGGGGGAACGGAGTCGTCGAATTGAGCAAGGGACGAATACTTTAAACTCTTTTCTCTACCGACGACCACCAAAACCGCACAAATGGCCGTGCTTATCTTGGTCGAGTCTTGGTCTTCGGATAGCCGCGGTTGAACCACTCAACCAAGTCCCTGATGATGCTACGATTACGCTGCCAGGCTGCTTGGCCTGTGGGCCGCACAAGATCAGCGTGCTGCATTGCCCAGCATGGATCACCCAAGACAAATGGGAAGGATTGTTCAAGGATTGGTCCATTGCCAAATAGGAAGGTCGTTGATTCTCTCACCGACCGGGTTTTTGCCCCCAAACCGAGACCTGCGACGGCGAGGACGGCGTAACCCCGGCGATAGTGGTCGTTCTGCTGCAGTCAATCCAGTCCATCCACTCAGGGAGTCGGGCCATCCAAGCATGATCCATCCAACCATCCTCTTCCCCGGACATGAGTCCGGCAGTCCCCGTTCCCATGTTCAACCCTCACGTGCCGAACGAGTCGAGCCGGCCGCGACAGATTGATGCAGTCAGCGGCTCACCCAACAAGATGCCTTGCTGCACTCCCTCGTGTGGGAATGGCATGTTTTGACACATGCATTGCTCTCTCTGCATCCTTGTCACCGTCGCACCTCAACCGCCCGGGATTCACGGCCCTCCAGGATCTCGAGCCCTGAAAAAACGGCCGGGTGCTACCCAACCTCCACCACGGCTCCCGGATCCCCAGCTTTTCTGCGCATCGCCTTCCCCCGCCTGCGTTGTATCCAAATCGCACCCACCTGTCGCTGTGGGGTGCGGGCCATCCCAAAAGATAAGCGACGCGTTCAAATACGCCAGCACTCCCTCCCCGGTGTTCCTCCAACCAACGAAGTGCTGCCCGGGTTTCCCTCCAAGCAGTTTCCCGCCACCACGTCAAGATGAAGAACGAGGGGTATGACGAGAAGCCCAGCGCCGACGAGTCCCAGGGCGGCTCGCAACTGATTGATGGCGTGGTGTCTTTGGACGAAGCAACGCAGTTGGAACGCGGCCTCAAAAGTCGACACATTCAGTTCCTAGCGCTGGGTGGCGCGTGAGTTCGACCCTTTTACTCCCACCTCCAAGCTCCGGCCCGGCGCTCTAACAGATGATGGGATAATAGCATCGGGACAGGGCTTTTCGTCGGGTCCGGTGCGATTCTGGCCAAGGTCGGCCCGGTACCGTTATGGCTCGGCTATATCTCCATGATGCTGGTGGTTTGGATCGTCATGAACACCATCGCCGAGATGACGACATACCTACCCATGAAGGGCATCACTTTGCCCTACTTCACGAACCGTTACGTCGACAGCAGCCTGGCCTTCGCCTCGGGGTGGAACTACTGGTATGCGTATGCGATTCTGGTCGCCGCCGAGGCTTCAGCGGGCGCAATCTTGCTCGACTACTGGGAGACGCCAGTCCATTCGGCGGTATGGATTACCATCATCCTGGTTGTCTGCCTCGCTCTCAACATCATCGCCGTCGAGGTCTTTGGCGAAGCCGAGTTTTGGTTTGCTAGCATCAAGATCATCACCATCATCGGCCTGGTCATCGTGGGTATTGTCATCATGGCCGGCGGCGCCCCCGGGGCTGGCGCCATCGGGTTCACGTACTGGAACAACCCCGGCGCCTTCAAGGAATACGTGGGGACAGGCGCGACCGGTCGATTCACTGCCTACTGGACCGCCTTCGTCCGCGCCGGCTTCAGCTTCATCACCTCCCCTGAACTCATCGGCCTTGCTGCCGGCGAGACCGTGGCCCCCCGCCGCAACATCCCCAAGGCTGCGCGCCGCTTCCTGTATCGCCTCGCCCTCTTCTACGGCGTCAGCAGCTTGATCATCGGTGCTATCGTGCCCTACGACGACAAGCAACTGCTTACCGAGACGGCCGACGCCAGCGCCAGCCCCTGGGTCATCGGCATTCAGCGTGCCGGCATCGGCGGCCTCAACCACGTCATCAACGCCGCCATTCTGACCTCGGCCTGGTCCGCTGGCAACGCCTTCCTCTACTCAGGCTCCCGTATCCTCTACTCGATGGCCGCCACCGGCCAAGCACCCAAGATCTTTGCCCGCACCACCAAGCGCGGTGTCCCCTACGCCGCTGTAGTCGCCACTTGGGCCGTCGGTCTGCTTGCCTACCTCAACGTGTCCCAGAGCGGCGCCAAGGTGTTCCTCTGGTTCATGAACATCTCCACCATCTCAGGCTTCATCGGCTGGATCGTCGTCCTCGTCACCTATCTGCGCTTCCGCAAGGCCATGAGCGTCCAGGGCCTGCTGAGCACCCTGCCCTTCCGGACCATCGGCCAGCCGTACGCCGCGTGGTTCACACTGTTCATTATCACCCTCCTGACCATCACCAACGGGTTCCAGGTCTTTGCCAAGTGGGACGTTGGCGACTTCCTGGCCGCCTACATCACGCTCCCCATCTTCTTGGTCCTGTATCTCGGCCACAAGGCGATTTTCCGGACGCCCTGGCTCAGGAATGTGCACGACGTCGATGTCCTCACGGGCAAGAAGGAGATGGATGAGTTCTGCGCCAACGACCACCCGCCGGTGCCCAAGAACTTTTTGCAGAGGGTCTGGTTCTGGCTTGCTTAGATGTTTGCGTTTTATTATTGGGACTGCAGCACGTTTGGTTATGATACCCGGAGCTGGTTGGTCTGTCCGCCTTGTAGAACGAAGAATAGACAAAATAGATCTTGTCTGAGCCACATCGTCCCATATACTCATGCCATGATAAACCAGGCTGTCTTTCCACCATATGTTTACCCGCTATTTTTGACTCAGGAGCTGCAAAACTTAATGAGGCGGCATAGACGACTAACCTTGTATAAAAGACCTACCAAGTTGGAGTCATCTTTCCAGGATGCCTCCTTTCGGTTGGAGCCGGATGCTGTTAGCAGTAGACTTCACAATGTACCTAGGAGACGCCTCGGCCATCAGCATCATAGCCCTCGAAGAAAAGGGCGAATATCGAACTTGATAAGGTGCGTACTACTCTCTTTATAACCCTTGTTTACTGGCGTTGTTGGAACATATATGCCGTCCAACCTCGCTGTAGAAGGTTGATAGTATTGTACTCTCAACATCACTGGCTATTATGAGTTCTACGGTCGAATGGCGTAAGGGTAGCGCATTACTTTCCGGTGAAGAATATGGTAAAGGCTCTGGGTTCGAATCCCAGTTCGATCGTTGCTTTTGCTCTCCGCTGCATGACTCCCCGAGTGCTGAGGGTGGATCCGAATTTTTACCCATATCGAATGAAGTCACCAAGGGTGAGCCCGCGGGGCAAGCAGGGGAGAACTGGGTGCAGACGCCGAGGAGGGTGGAGCACACCGTCCAAGATCCCAGGGAGGTCGGAAGGTGACCTCGCAGCCGGTTGTCCGCGTGCCGTACGTGATTCAGGGGGTGAATATGCCGGATACGATGGAGATGTACTCCGGCACGACGAGGCTACTTCGCAAGTTTGACGGGGAGATCTCGGAGACGTAGAGCGGCGCACCCTATTCCGGTCCTTTTGTTTTCACTCCAGCTTCCGGGCCGCAAGTCTTGATCGCAAAGACACGGTGTACGTGCTGAGTAGCAAGCCGGGGGACTGTTGTTTGCATACCTAGTACTATTGCAAACGTACCAATGCCAGGGTCCTATCCACGGTGCCTCCGATGGCCCTTCCAACAACTGATGTGATATAGTTCCTGGACACAGTTTGAATTATGGAATGGTGTCGAATATTACGACAGCGGCGGTCAAGACCCGCTCCCTAGAGACCCTGTCAGCAAAGTACAGCAATGAACAAGCAGCCTGCAATAACGCCAACCAACAACATCAAGATCATAAAGCTGGAGCTTGACCCGTCTCTATCAGAGTATATTTTCGTATAAGAGGCGGTTTCCGAGACTGTATAATTAACTGGCCCCTAGCCAGCCCGCTGAATCTGGCAAAGATGCCTCTCAGGGGTGATTATCCTGGACATCGGCCCCGGGAATGTCTCGACATTTTAAATACCATCCCCTGGGCCTAGCCTTGAGTGTGCCCTCTTCCTCACAGAAAACTAATCTCCATTCACATCACATCAGTGTCTGAAGACACATGGTGCCTGCCATGGTTATGTGTAGATGTGTTTTCTGTGGGGGCAGAATTTGGCCAGTATTCAAGGCTTGGAAGGTGTTGTTAACAGCTTTTCCAAGAAGAAAACCCGTTCCAGCAATGGCTCGTTAACGGTACAAAGTGTCAAAGATGCTAGACGAGCTCAAAGCCGCTCGGGTGGTGGATTGCCCTCATCAGGCCGGGGACGCGTCATTCCAGGGGCATGAACCTTCTCGACATCCATGTCGTCAGTCCAAGTTGAGGTCGTTATCCTCGGCGGGGAACTCCTCATGTCTCTTTCGACAATCACAATGAAACCCCCCGCCTCATGAAAAGAAGAAGAAAACAAAACAAAAAGAAAAGAGAAAAAGGAAAAAAAAAAGAAAAAAAAAAAAAAGGAAGGGTGCGGTTAAGGCCCAGATTTTCCAAATATCATAACTAGTTAACTACCTATTATGAATAACTAACTATAATTTGAAACAAAGAAATATTCATGTTGTCAACTTGATTGTTCGGAACCAAACACAATCTCTAGGGCTGGCCGCTGAACAACCCCCTCATGCCTGGGCGGCTGGCGCGTCGGATCTGAAATCATGCCTGGTTCGGAGTAACTATAACTAGGACGTCGCTAGGCTGTACTACAGCCAGGGGCTTTTTATTTCCTCCGCCAGTTGGATACCCCAGGTTGGTGCGAAGGAAGCAGGGTTTTCTTTTTTGTTTTTCTAAGGTTGCTCAAGAGTACATAATCTTTAGAACAAGAAGACCATGGCTTCCGCACCAACCTTCTCTTATCCTCAGACAGTAAAATATCGCTGTCACATCGTCGAGTATGGCATAGTAGTCAGAAAGTATGGGTGGAGTGACCACCAGCGGTCCCGGAAGGTTATGAAGCTGGACGAGCTTTGTCCGAAATGTGAGAGGAAACTAGAAAGGAGGATGCTTCGCAACTTACATTGGTTGAACGACCGGAATGACTTTACGATTAAATACGTTTATCTTTACCGCGATGGGGAATCGCCCATGTCCAGTCCCGAGTGGCCTTTGTATACTGAATCTGAGTCGGGATCTACGGATGAACACCGCTCGCCCCCATGGGCAATGTGGGCGGCTCTGAAAGACGACGGGAAGGAGGCGGGCGACGAGGTTGATGATGATGACAAAAATGATGATGAGAAGAAAGAGGAAGCAGAGGAACAATCACCTGAACAGAAATTGCTTTCTGGTTTGTTTGAATTGTTAGACGAGGACTGGGGTGAAGAGTTTTCCGAGGGAGAGGAATCACTTTCAACCGCAGAGGGGAAGGAGGGAACACTTGAAGCGGAGGTACCTGCTTTAAGAGCTGCTGGCATGGGGGAGAGCTAGTACTGACTGACTCGAGGCTCTAAATGAGATGACTTCGGTTTGGGGCCTTCCGATGGTGATCAAAGGGAGATCCCATCCTATGAGGCCGAGGAAAGGAGCACTCGGAACAAAGAACAATGATCCGCCCCTGGTCATCATGCAATGGATGAAAACGGCCGGGCCGTCGAGTTGTCCAGGTCCCCGGAGCGCAGGCGCTGGGAGTTGTATGTAAAAATAAACGGGAACAACAAAAGTCCACAAAGAACTCAGTAAAACATGTTGCCGCCGTGACTACGCGCCTGATGAAACTGCTTACTGTCATCGAGTCCCGAAACAGTCTGCTGTTAGCCCGCGAACTCCGATACCATCCCACCGGTATCGAAAATAGATCTGATATGGATGGAACCGTGGAGCCGTGAATTTGAAGTCGAGCTTGAACCCAGTCATGATGAAGCAAGCGCCCGGAGAACGAGGGAACATTGGTTCAGCATAATACCTTGGTGCTAATCAGACATCCACATTCCAGACTTAATCCCTTTCCTGAAACTCAGCTTAGCTGTTGGCTGTTCTTCACGACCTCAGCGCTTTTAGCAGCAAAAGCTTTAACTCTTCTTGTTCCTCCCGTTCTCACCTCTGCTCCAGCGCCATCTAGTCGCGCGCGTCGAGCAAAAAAGATCTCGAATGAAAGGGAGATGCTCTTTATGGATCCATCCAAAAATTCGGTTCCGTTCTGTCGGGTCCGCTAGATGCTCAGTATGGGGCGTTACTGCCCAATGCTTTTGGTTTCATGCAAAAAATAGAGGCTGAGCCTGCACGACGTTGTGGGGGGAAAGCCCCTGGAACATGGAGGTTTGCAGCCATAGCCGCCTGGTGGCCTCGGGACCGGCCGGCTGGCAGTGGCTAAGTGGGTCCCAATTGCCTGGCAGGACTTCCCAGGACGAACCGCATACTTTTGGAAGGCGGTGCAGACCACCAGGGTGGGGCTTCCGTCTTTCGCACACTTGGGGAGAATTTCACCTCGTCTCCTGCCTTGTGGCATTGTGCGACCTAATTCGCTGGCTGTTGCCTAGAAACGGCGGCCGACTGCCCCTCCCCCACCTTTCTGCCTGTCAAGCCTGTCAAGCCTGTCAAGCCTGTCCTCATTCTTCCTTGTCCGCCTGCATGCCAATGCATCAATTGAGCGGTCCAGATTGGCTTGAGATTGGTTCCCTCCCACAAATCCGCGCTGAGCCATCCGGCAACCCACCCCGCATCAACGGTCCCACCCGGACCGGACACAGACGAGTGACGTCCTCACCGTGACTCCGTCCTCTGGTCCCGCCTTTGACACCAATCTAGGACTCTAGGCAGAACACAGACAATATCTGATCATGGGCGCCCTCGATCTGACCATCATGGACGGGTCCGTGTATATAGGGGCCATGCCCCCCTCGTCCTCAATCACCCGGGGTCATGGCCATCAAGCAGCCATTACTTGACCACAGCTATCGACCACTCGTCAAGATCAACAACACATATCAACAGTCACTTGACTACTCGTCCATCATGCCGCACTTCTCCTATGTGGCCGCCGAGTCGGGTCATCATCGTCGTCGTCACGATGAACCCCAGACACACTACCAGTGGCCCGTCACCACCACTCACCAGAGCCACCACTCCCGGCGTCAGGAGCCTCGCCGGGTGGAAGCCCCCGACTTCCGCTTCTGCGTTGAGCTCGGCCTCGTCATCCGCAGCAGGAAACACAACCACAAGACCATCACCGGTCTCGAAGACGAGATCAGCAAACAACTCAACCGCGCCGGCATCGCCAACCACCTCGCCAGCACCCACATCACCCCGGTCTCCTCCCGGCAATGGACCATCGCCAGCGAGCTCTGCATCCCGTCCCGCCCCAACGACCACCGCTTCGGCATGAAGCTCGTCTCCCCCTTCATGCGCTTCGCCAAGCGGCCCGAGTCCTGGCAATCGGACCTACGCGCCGTCATGCAAACCCTCAACACCCACTTCGAGCTAACCACCACCCACCAATGCTTCACCCACATCCACATCACCCCCTCCTCCGGCTACTGGGAACTGCACCAAGCCAAAGGGCTCGCCAAATCCGCCCTCTACTTCGAGCGCTGCCTCGACGCCCTCGTCCCGCCCTACCGCCGCAAGAGCGTCTGGGCCAAGAGCAACCGCCACAACCACTACTTCGAGGGCCTGCCCATGGCCGAGTGCTTCGACCGCATCGACGCCCAGACCACCCCCGAGGCCCTCGGCGCCCGCATGAACTGGTGCGCTGCCGACTCGCCCACGGGGGTGGCGCTGGGCGCGCGCCCCGGCGCCGACTTCCAGCATGATGCGTATCGGTGGGGGTTCGTGGGGCTGAATGAGGGGGCGGGGCTGGGGACGGTCGAGTTCCGCCAGCCGCCGGGGGCGAATACCGGGGCGGAGGTGATCGCGTGGGTGATGTTGGTGGGGTGTCTGGCGAGGTTGAGCTGTGGGGAGGGGGTGGCGCTGGATCCGGCGCAGAAGCCGCAGCTGAAGAGTCTCGGGGAGTGGTTGGTGTATGAGGCGGAATGGTGTGGCGTGCCGCAGAAGGGGTTGCTGGCGGATTTGGTCAAGCAGGCCGTGCCGGTCACGCCGGCGCCGGGGACGCTGGCGGGGAGGGATGCCGATGCGATTACCATCGATGAGGACCAGCGGTTGAGGTGGAAGGCGAATGATCGGGATTTGGTCCTGGAGAAGTATAGGCGGCTGTTGAAGCATGTCTGAGCTTCTTGGGGAGGGGAAGCTGGTGATACGATTTACGTTTTAATTATGCGGGCATGACCTTGGGATGAGATTCCCGCAAAGGCACACTTGGGTATGGGGCTACTGGGCATGGGTCGCCAACGGGGTTGGCGATGGCGTTACGGAAGATACCATGGGACACACAATGACATTATACGTTGACGTTTTGGTCTACATCTGTTTCATGACTTGAACTTGTGCCTCTGAGTGATATGTTGTTCGTCTTGGACATGCCGATATTGACATGTGGGGGAGAGGTTGGCATGGGGAGAACATCCTGACATGGTGAGAACATCGACATGGAGAACATCTTGATGCGGAGGCAAATCTTGACGACGTGTGGAGATCTTGACATGCCGAGCGGAGGGCGTGCTGATCGATGTGACATGGAGTCCTGGGTGACTGACTGCTCTCGGTCAACATTGCGGCATGAGTCATTGGTTCCCCCGAGAATGCAGCTGGCCCGCTCCCTGTGCGGCCGCCAAGGCGGCCTCATTCTTGCTGCCTCGCAGGCTGACGGTCCCGGTCATGTGGGGGTACAATGTGACGCGCAGCCCCCAAACGGCAGTGGTTTGTCCCTTGTTGTACAAAACTGCGAGTGCCGAGAAAGGAGACAGATTGCAACATAAACAGCCCGGAAAGGGGGCGCGTGGGTTCTGGGTTGCTCAGTTTGGTAAGTCTGTGGACGTCGAACCTCGGTCAACAACCTGATGCCTCGTTCCGTTATTGCTCTAGATGCCAGGCGAGTCGATCGTCAAGAGCAGGGGGGGAAACATCTCAGAGCCTGTTACCAAAAAGATGGCCTGCTTGACCAGCATCGCTGGTAACCTGAAAAGGCAAAAGACGCGTACCCTCAATCACCGTACAACACGAAAAAAGTCCCAAAGTGGGAAATACTGTGTACTAGATACAAAGCCAGGGAAGTTAAGCAAAGCTGTTTTGGTCCATTTTGCCCATCACTTATGATTCGCCGCCTTTGTGAATCAAGGAACCCTTCAATTTCCATGCCGCTTGGTGTAAGCTCACTGTTTGGTCATAAGTTGTGTTGCCTCTGATTTTCGGGTTGCTTCATAAAGGATGATGTTAAGACCGAAAAAAGGGGAGAAAAATTAAACGCTACTTGTAAATGACACTGTTTAATATCCTATTTCTGATTGCCTCCTTTCATTATCAGGTCTCTCGTCTGTCACTCCTTCGGTACCTGTGGTCTCGCCACAGATTCGGCCCAGGCAAGCACCCACATGTGTCCCAATATTGACGGAAACGGTTTTTTTTTATCTTCTACTCTTGGAAAACTCCTTTCAACCCGCCTCCGCACCGCCGTGGCAAGGACCGAAGAGAGAAAAGAACAACTGGATCGCAGAGAAATGGGGCGGCAAGGTTAAGTTGTGAGTTGGGGTGGGTGCTACCACGCCATGGTGGCCCTTCCTAGTGTGACTAAGGCTTATTAACACTTGGGCGATATCCGGGCCCGTTTCTAGGATTCATCTTCCGATCTTTTCAGGCGCCTTTTGGTTGCCCTAGGTTTGTTGGATAGATGCACAGCGCGAGCCAGCCGGCCATGGTCAATTACTACTACTAAGTGTCTGCCTAATCTAAGTTCTCTAACCCAATGCCCCTTATGAATGCCAAATGTCATGAACAATGTATATCGTGATAACTCCCAGTATAATGCCCACCCCAAGAAGGAGTATCGACCCCTGAACTGCAAACCCAGAACTCGCACGCTGAATGCAACAACTCAAACATCTAACCGCCAACTCCGAACAGAATATGTCAACGTGAACCATGAGAAAATGCGTCACACCGGGCCAGGGCCCCAGTTCCAAGCCATCAAACACGCACAATCTACCCCTTCTCATCACCCCAACAGCCACCCACTCCTTTCTTCAACTCCACCATCCCCCCTTTACAAACTGAACAACCCACTCCTCCTCTTCCCAAACGGATACACCAACAGCGCGCTCAGCGACAGCCCCACCGAGATGTTAATAGCAACCTGAATGACACTAAACAGGACATTAAAAGCCGAGTTATTCAGATCCCCGGACTGCGTCGTGGTCATGGACATGGTCCCATTAACGACGGTACCGTTGGCAAGAATGGTCTCGTTGCGCACGATCTGGTCGGCACTGGTGACGCCGCTCAGCAGCGAGCCGCTAGCGGCCAGGCCCGAGGGCACCTGGACAAAGATGGCCGGGAGCATGGCGGCGGCGGCGAGGCCGTAGCCGATCTTGCGGGCGCGCGGCGAGAGCCCCGCCGACGGGTCCGGGCTGGCGCCGCCCATCTCGGGATCCGGCGGCGTTGCCCCTGCTTTCGGGTTGACCGTTGACGCGAGCGTCTCGTCTGACTCCACCGCCGGCGGGCAGTTGTAGTAGGGGGAGTGGTGCGCCGCGCGCTTGTTGCGGGTGAGGCGGTGGAGGCGGGGCTCGATGTGGAGCTCCCAGATGTCGAGGAGCCAGTTTTGTGCGTATCGGCCGAGGCGGGAGTAGAGGTTGGCGAGGACGCCGATGGTGAGCGCGCCGAGAGAGCTCGAGACGATGCCGTTGCCTTTGAAGAAGCGCGAGGCGAAGTTGTTGACGCAGAAGGCGGCGAGCGAAATGAAGACTTGCACTGGAGAGAGATGTTAGTGAGCTTTTTCCCCTGCGAGGAGTTGGCGGGAGAGTTCATACCTGGTGTTTGTTTCCACTGGGCCTGGTTGATGACGCAGAGGCAGAGCGTAAATGGGAGGACAAAAAGCAGGTAGTAGTTCTCGGGTGGTCTCTGCGTGTACCAGTTATCGCCAACGGTACAGTGCACCGCGCTGACAGCGTTGCTGTCCATGTACCCGTAGATAACCGACCCGATGGTAAAGCCATAGCCCAGGAAGAGGGTGTAAATGAGTGCGTAAACCATGCGGACTGAGCCCGAGATCATCTGATGGCTTTGCAATTCCAAACTCGCGCTGAGCACCATGTAACCCGGCAGGATTAGAGCAATGGGTGCCTGTGCGAGGGATGAGAAACAAAAGAACTCGCCGCCCCGGATGGAGCCGAATACCCTGGCCAGAAATGAGGTCGCCACGGCTGCCGTTATTTCGAATACGTTGGCATAGAGTTCGTTAGCAGGCGAAATGTAAAGCTGCAGAAAACCAACGAGACAGCCGAGAATGAAGCAGATGGGCATGTCGATGTAACGGCCCTCAAAACCAAAAGGAGCAACCGTCGCCGAGGCGATGCCGTAGAGGAAGATGCGCAACCATACGGGGAATTTTGGCTTGCGAGCGGTGATATCTTTCAAGCGTGCGGTCGCTTCGTCGACGCCCATGCGGTCGTGTACAACCTCCTTGTAAATCTCGTGGACATCTCGCAAACGTCCAAAGTCTAGGCCCTGGCCGGCGCGCACAATCTTGACTTCCGTCGTGTGAGTGTTGCTGTCATCGAACGAGATGATCATGGTGTCCGGAAGGTACAGAAACTGGCCCTCGATGCCAAGTACGCGAGCAGACATCCTCATGTAGGCTTCTAGTCGGTGGGTCGGGGCACCGTAAATCATGAGGGACCTGCACAGTCTGAGGAGGTAGGCGTGTCGGTTGATGATCTCGGCGATGTGGATCTTGATGCGGTACTCGTCGGCCTTTTTCTTCGATTTGCCCGATTTCTTGCTCTTGCCTGCCTCGTGCTTCACCTTCTCAGACACTGCATCGGAGATGTCCTTGGCAGATCCTGGAGCGGCGAACATAAACGACGACTCCATGAGTCCTGCCAAGGTGCTCGACGACTGTGTCCTCCATGGCCGAGGGCGGCGGTGCTCCGGTTTCGGTGTGCTCGACCTCGAGGTCGGGGGGCTACTCCCTGGCGTGCTTGGTGCGCTAGAATCGACGGTCCCATGCCTCTCCTCGGACCCGTAGAGCTTTAGCAGCGTTCCTAAAATCCCGCCCCTGTAAGTGCTCGGTGCGGGCACATATTCCAGATCGTGGTCGACGGGCGTGACAGTGCCAGACGTCGGCGGGACAAAGGAGTTCATCAGCGGGCTCTTGTGGCGCCGATGGGTCCTCACGAGCTGATCAGCCTCGAATTGTGCGTTTCTGCGAGGCCGGACATTCTCCGAGTCTTTTGAAGGTGGCGCAAAATCTTGGGCCGTCGTGGCTGCCGAGTCGAGTAAACGGTCTTGGGCGACGGCTCCTCTCCCGGAGTCGACCGAACCCCTTCTTGATACGGGAGCGGAGGCAGTCCCGACGGCATAAGCGAGGCGATCTGCCCGGTTCTTGGCTTCGACCTCGGACCTGTGGGGAGTGGTTGGCATGTCGGCCGATGTTGGCAGAGCGGACGACTTTCGGAGCGCCGGACGGGGCCGGCTTGGGCCGGGCTGCCCCCCGGCCTGCTCGCTTTCAAAATACCGAGCCACCGCGGCGGTTAGTTCGGCCTCGTCGACAGAAGGTCGTCTGGTTAACAGTTCCCCTTGCAAAGGCGTAGAGGCGTTGCTGTATGGCGATGGAGCGAGAGAGAAGTAATCCTGGCCGTCATGCTGCGGTTCATTGGGCGTGACACGGAATGGGCTGCCGAGAGTACTACTGTCGCTGGCAAAGCCAACCCGTTTCTTTTCCTTGCCCCTGGGAGGCTGCAGGCCTTCGCTGGTCCCTTGTGGCGAGGGAGAGATAGAGCCGTCGAGTTGCTGCTCGGGGCTAGCATCCCCCGGCGTGATTCGGTCTTCCTGTGCACGCGGCGACGCCATCGCTGCGGCAAGATCCGTCCCGAGGGCGATGAGCCCCTGATCTCGCCTGAGGATCAGGCCCTCAAATTAGGTGTATAGGGGAAGAAGTGGGAATGAGGTTATGAACCTCAGAATGTCGGTCGAGGGGTTGGCCGATCGGGGCGGCCCTAGGAGCTTCAGTTTGTCTCTCACAAATTTGGATTGACTACCTGTGGGGCTGGTGCAAAGGTTGAAGAAACTCGATCGACAGAGTGAAAGGAGGAGCACAATCTCAAACCACAAAATGGAGATGGAGAGAGGCGAGAGCGGTTGCGGGTCAAAGAGTCGGGAGCCGCGGGAGGATAACAGAGCTCTCTTTGTTGCGTGACCAACATCTTGATGGAGAAGCGGCATCCAGAAGCCTGCCGCCCAGCGGGAAGGTGGAACCCATTGTGACGGCAGAGGCTGGGTGTCCGGGATGAGAAGTTTGTCGAGATCTTCGGTTGGGGTTCTCTTTGCCCAAGTCTCCACTGATAAAGAGTCCAGGCCATCGAGTCCAGGAGCTCACCTCTGCCCACGTTCCCAGGGCTCTGGCAATGGCTGTGCCAGTGCTCGCCCCTGTGTGTCCATGCACCCATTCCCGCCCCTGCGACTTCGTATCTTTTTTGCGTCGGGGCATTGTTTACCGCCACTTCGGTGGGCCATCAAGTTTCGAGTTTTTGAAGTTTCTAACCAAGAGGAAAGACATGTGCGGGCCCACACGTCATTCTCAGCCCGGCCAAGAGCTCCAGCCGCTGCTCGCTGCTCGGGTTTCCGCATCCGATCTACCCGCTAACCGCCGCCTGTGGAAATGTCGATTGCATCAGCGCTCGGGAACAGGCCGGATGAAGCACCACAGCACCACAATCGCACTTGTTGTTTCCCATCTCGTCACTGTTCCTTCCTTGCTCAAGTGAGTCAATCACGCACCGGTGCACCGGCGCATTGGTCAATTGCTTGGCGAGTTAGGCCTCGATCGCGGCGGGTCGGTGGAATGGGAACCGAGATTTCAGGTTTGCGCCCAATTGGCCTCAGGGGGGAAGGGGAGCCCGGTTGGTTCATTGTGACGATGTACGCGTCGCCGATGGAGCGGTGGGTTCGGAATGGGGCTGCTGGGTTCGACGGCGTTGATGTAATCTGGTGATTCTATGATGTCAAACTCGAGTCGAGGTTGATGCGGCTCTTCTTCAATTCCATGCCGGAACGCGGCCCTGAAATGATTTGCCCAGCGGACAGGCACACACGACAGGGGGACAGGCTCGAGACATGCCCAAAAGCCACCGGGAGGGCACAACCGGATGTCCGGCGCACGGACCTATTTTCACCAAAAAAACTTGAACCCAGCATGGAAATCCTCCAAAACAATCCCAAAATCTAAAAACCATCATCAGCTGCAACGAAACAAGACCCACGTGCGGTCGATGCAACCTTATTATCATCAACTTGCTCGCTCTAGATTAAGGGTGTAATGCCCCCCTTCCAATATATGTCCAGACCGTCTTGGCTAGAGATGCGAGACGAGGACCACATTAGTGTTGTCGTAGCGCTCAGCTGAGCAGAGCACTTGACCCGTTTCGTTCTGAAGATGCACCATGGCCGCCCCGTCAAAACCAACAAGCTTGCCGCTCGCCGTCGTCGCCACCGAGTCGACAAACCAGAGGTCCGAGAAGTGCGCCAACTCGACCTGCTCCCCGGATTGGTAGAAATCCTCCACTATCCATTCAACGTCCCGACGACACAGCTTCGGTCCGTTGTTGATTTCCATGGTGACCGCGGTGCCCTGCTCTGAGTTGGTGATGACCCTACAAAGTAGCGATTGTCAGATCGTCGCGCCAAGAGATCGCCAGGAACCATCTCTTCCGCCGCCACCACTTACACTGTCCCGCTCGTCTCATCCCTCGCTGTGATATTTACCGACACCCAATCGCCGGGCTTGACCTTGAGGCCGTCGATGCTATAGGCAGCCTCCGGGTACCATTCCCACCAGGCCGAGGCACTCTGTCCTCCGTTAGAGTTGACCTGTGCACAGCTTCAGTCACGGTTGTCTCGCATTTCAATACCGCCACGGCCAGTAGTCTCTTACAACGGTCGTGAATCCCGCTTGCAATAGGGTCGAGTTGCATTCCGCCCCGTCGATGCCAACCCACGCGGCGGCAAACTGCGGCGCCGGAATCCCTGGCCGTAGCGTCAAGTCGGGCACGGTGAAGTAACCGATCGCGTTGGTGATTTTCTCCGCCGGGGGCGCGTGCTGCGATGCACCGCACCAATTGGAACTATAACTAATAGTATCCCTTTCGACGGCTTTGTTGTGCCCTCGATGCAGCCGGGGGCCCATGCTTGCCGTGTCTCAAGGCCGGCATCTTGACGAAGTCTAGGATTGAGGCGTCTACATCTTTGCCTTCCTGTTGGACGCTCGCCTTGAAGGTCAGTTGTGCAGTGACCGTCGTCGCCAGCAGCGAGGCGATAGATACTGAGCGGACAAAGGACCACATGTCGTCGGAGGATTTCGAGCGATCAGTTCGTCAGGGTGCTGATCAACACTTGGCAAGCTGCGTGTTTCGGCATGGAACACTGACGATTCGGGGTTGCTTACTCCAAGGGCCGCGATGCGCACGAACGAGGCGTGGTACGGGGATCGACGACAGCGGAAACAAGGAAAAAATAAAAGACAGCAACCGGGAATGTTGTCAATCCACACCGAGGATCTGGCCCCCTTGATGTGTGTGTGCGTGGGGCCTCGTGTTGGAAGACTGGCACCTCCCAAATCTTCCATTTCCATTTCCCCCGGCTAGAAAGACCTTTCCAGCACCGGTCCCACCCCCCAATTCGGCCGTCGCCCACGTTCGTGGTCCCGTCAATGCGCCCAGCAATCCAGGTTTTCCCCTTCAATAGTCGAGGAATTTCGGAGGCTAGCGCCCCTAACGTTGCATCTCTGTCACCCCGCAACCCCTTCTGGAGTTGGTCGGGACAGGGTTGTGTCTTAAAATAACATGCGTAATTCAGATCAGTGACGTCCCAGCATCAGGTCTCGGCAACCCGTTGCGTCTCGGTTGCGAGCCCTATATAATGCACCCGATATACCGTACCCTCGGGACCACTCACCTGCACCGTGGATGAACGTCCACATCCGTAACGGAGCCGAAAAGGGACGGAATCGTGTTCGACAGCCAGGATCATTTTGGGAAAGACGGCGTTTGTGCTATTCCCCCACGGGTTCGTCTGATGTCAAATCAGGGGAAGTCTTGGTGGCAAGTCGTCGTGAGGAAGAAACAAGAGGAAATTCCATGGCCACGGAAAAGGGGGAAGTTAAGAAGGAAGGTGAAAAAAAGAAAGGACGAGAGAGAAAAAGTAACAGGTCCGAAGAGGACGTATCAGAAGAGGATAAGCATGAAAACACCCACGGTCCCATGCGGTAATGAAGTCCATGTTCTTACTCGGGGTCTCTTCCAGCTTGCGGCGAGAGCGACGGTGGGGTCGTGGCTGACTTTGAGAAACACTGTGCGTCGGTACCTAGCCAGCCACCCCGCGGCCCAAAGACGTGATGAGGACAAGGGCGTGTGGCCTCCGGACACACTCCCTCATACACACCAACACCACAGACAGCTGGCCGTGTCGTGATTATTTTGTCACAGCGGAGAGGGCTCGGGCGGGACACCTTTGTAACCACGCAAACAGCCCTACGACTGCGGTATCCACGCGTCAACACATGTGGTCCGCTGGTTAGAGGGTTACTGGCGCAAGTCACGTCAACGGAAGCGGCCCGTACGAGTTCGAAAGAAAGGTCATGAATTGCACGCTTCTAGGCCCCTTAAGAACCCCTAAGGTATCTTTTAAAGTACATGTCGCCTAAGTCGAGAAAATAACGAGAGGAAAAAAGGAATATAAGAGGGGCACAAGGAAGAATAAAAGAAGAAGAAAGAAAGAGAAAAAAATAGGAAAATAAAGTCCCCTCTGGACACTAGGAAGGTCACTCACGCCCCAGCTCAAAAATCACGACCAATGGCCAGAAGTATCCATTCAAAAGCCATCGCCTGGTAACATGCTGCGAACGTAATGCATTTCGGATACACAAACAAACACCTATTCGAAAAGTCAAACCAGAACCGCCAATCCTGCCCAGCCCCTGCCCTCCTGAAACGCCGCCGCAAGCCATCTTGAAACCCTTTCGTACATTCCGGCCGAACTCCGTAGCGGAGATTATGCCATCGCCTCATCGTCGCCCGCCTTCTTGTCGGCGATGGCCGCATCGTCGGACTTCTCAGCGCTGGGGCCTTCCTCGGCCGGCTTGGCGTCCGGCTCAGCAATCTCGGGGGAGGCAGAACCGCGCTCCTTCGTGGTGGAAGCCTCGCCGTCGTCAGCCACCTTGGTGTTCTCGGGGACTGGGCTCTTGGTCGGCTCGGCCTCGGTTGCTGAAATGCCCTCAACTTCTTCCCGCTTGATTGTGGCCTCGGGTTCCTTGGTATCAGCGCTCGTGGCTTCGGTCATGTCAACGTCGCCATCACCGTCGACCTTGGGCTTGTCAGTCTCCGTGGCTTGCTCGGCCGCAGTTTTCTCGTCGGCAGCGGCGTCTTGCGCTTCCATCTGGGCGACTTCGGCTAATACCTCGGCCAATTCCTCCTCCATCATCGGGTCATCGTTATCGACGGTGGCTTCCGCGGCAGGCTCAGGAGGCGTAGCAGCACGGCTGTCAACCTCCATGGTGTCATCGTCTTTATTGGTCGGGCGGAAGTTGGTCTCTTGCCGAGAACGACCATTTGGCTTGTAGACACCGTTGGCACGCGCCATGTCCTCGTCGTCAGACTCCTCGTACTCGTCCTGGCGCTCGACGCGCTTTTCCCACTGACGTTGTGTCAACCGGGCGTCCGGGTTCTCCTCCTCGTCGCGGTCATCAAGCTCGGCCTCCTGGTCGTCGGACATGCCCATGCTCTGGCGAGGAACGTCCTGCATCTGAACTGAGGGTGCGTGAGCGGTCCGCTTCAGGTTCTCAATGACAGCAATCTTGATCTTCTCCAGGTACTCGTAGCTGTTGGCATTCTCCATGTTGGAAGACCGCACATCGAGCTCGTAATCAGGGCCATAGTACTAGACACAATTAGCATCCTGTCGGCTGTGAAAAGCGCCGTGACGACTTACCGTGTAATACTCATTGTACGGCAAAACGGAGTCCATCTCCACTCCGACCAAGCGGCCAGTCTCATACGCCCAGGTGCGGGCAACGTTCCGCATGGTGTAGCCACCGCCGCCGAGGACAAGAGTTGGTAGGTTAAAGCTGCGTACGAAATTGACGCAGTTTGCGTGGCCACGCATGCTCAGATTAAAGCAACCAAGACGGTCACCGGAGAGACTATCGCCACCGCACTGAAGAACGACTGCCTCGGGTTGGAAATACTTCATGACAGCCTCGATGACGGGCTCGAATATCGTGTCGTATGTCGTGTCGTCGATGCCATCCCGCAGGGGAAAGTTGACGGCGTAGTGCTTGCCGTTCCCAATGCCAATATCCCGGAGCTCGCCGGTACCGGGAAAGTATTCGCCATACTTGTGGAACGAGACCGTCATTACACGATCTGTCGTGTAAAAAGCCTCCTCAACGCCATCTCCGTGATGCACATCGATGTCGATGTAAAGGACGCGCTTCTTGAAGCGCAGAAGCTCGAGAATGGCGAGGACAATGTCTGTACGAGCACGTCAGTTAACCGTAACGGAAATAAAGATGTCCCGCCTGCGAGCACATACCGTTGACGTAGCAAAAACCGCTAGCCTCGCTTTTCTTCGCGTGATGCAAACCACCGGCCCAGTTGATAGCAATGTCGCACTTCTCCCGGTTGAGACGAGCAGCACCCTCCATGCTACCACCGGCGCTGATGCCGCAAAACTCGAAGAGGCCGTCAAACACGGGGCAATCGTCGCCCACATTGTACTTGCCCTGCTCCCTCATGAAACCGTCCATGTTGTCGGGGGTGACTTTTTGAAGGAACTCGATGTACTCGTCGGTGTGAAATTGTGTCATCTCCGACGTGACTGCTGGCTTCGCGCGCTGTTTTGAAGCAAGACACACACCATCAGCAAGGGTTCTCAGCAAACACGTTCCCCCACACAGCAACAGACTCACGTAAATCTCAAGGAACTTGTAGACATCGTAGTTCATCACCAAGCTGTGAGCAAGGCGAATCCGATGCGGCTTCATCGGATGCCCGGTCACATAGGCATAGTTGCCAATGTCGGAGTCGTAGAAATAGGCGACCCTCTTCTTGTCGTTGTTGACAATTTCATAAAGCGGCCGGGACCGCTCGACACCCGAGGGGTCAGTCGTTTTAGGCATGTTGCTAACGTAGTTGGGGTTTTTAATCGGAGGGCTACGAGGTGCCGCGTCGAAAACAATATTGGGCACGATGTTTGTGGCCGGCAATTCGGCGGGTCGCTCCGCGCTTGCTTCGTTTCTTGATAGATCTTCACACGACACGTAGGCGGGGTCGCTGTCCTCGTAAATTTCAATGTTCAATTCGTCGCTGGGAGATACTGTGGGAGCCCAAACGGAGTAGGACTTGCGGGCTTGGTAAAATTGATGTTTGTTGTCGGAGTATGAATCTAAGGAATCAATGTTTCCGACGAGAGAGCGATCGTTCGCCCAGAAGCCCGGTGAGTGCACCATCATGAAATCGAGCTTATCGAACTCTCAGCGCCTATTGGCTCAGAGATAGTTGCTGGTCCGTGCGGTGAACGAAGTGGTGATTGTTAATTGGCGGCGGCTAAGCTTCGGCAATTGTCATGCAAGGCTGTGGGTTTTGATCTCAGGGCGGGATGATTTCGGTGGGGGAGGAGATGTGGGGCAAACACATCTGGATCGATGAGCGCACGGCAGTGCACACGCCAAGATTAGGTAACCCTTAGCTGCAGGCTGCCAGTGCTTTCGTCAACACCAACTGGGCAACAGCTCAGCTCCAACAGCAATCAGCTCCGACTCCCAACACAACCCATCTCCCGCATCAACGACGCTTGGCCATCTTCATTTTTCGGCTATTATTCGACCTCTCGACCGGGTGACACTGTCCTACCGATCTGCCCTCTTTACAACTGCAGAACCACCTCCACCCTTCTTCTACCCCTCGTTGCGGTTCCTCGAGAAAGCATGGAGCGATTCAGGAACTTGCTCGGTGGCGGCATGAGCTTAGGCGGCTCTGCCCCAGGCACGGTATGCACTTTTCAGGTGTTTTGCTGTTTCTGTGCCGCATTTCCTAACAAGCGCCTTCTTAGGATAACACGAACCTCATCGATAATTCCGAGACAGTCCACATCTCATCTCTCGCCCTCCTCAAGATGCTCCGGCACGGTCGCGCCGGCGTGCCGATGGAAGTCATGGGTCTGATGCTTGGTGAATTTGTCGACGACTTTACTGTTCGCGTGGTGGATGTGTTTGCCATGCCCCAAAGCGGTACGGGTGTCAGTGTAGAGGCTGTCGATCCGGTCTTCCAAATGAAGATGATGGATATGCTGCGGCAGACCGGCAGGTATGTATTGTCAAAGCAAGCGCTTTGCTTTGTCCCAAACCGCTGACACTTCCTTCATTTAGACCCGAGTCTGTCGTTGGTTGGTACCATTCCCATCCCGGCTTCGGCTGCTGGCTCTCGTCGGTCGACATCAATACCCAACAAAGCTTCGAGCAACTTACCCCGCGCGCGGTTGCCGTCGTCGTCGATCCCATTCAGTCAGTCAAGGGCAAGGTCGTCATCGATGCCTTCCGCCTGATCAACCCACAGTCTCTCATGATGGGTCAAGAGCCTCGCCAGACCACTTCGAACTTGGGTCACCTAAATAAACCGTCTATCCAGGCGCTTATTCACGGCCTCAACCGCCACTACTACTCTATCGGCATCAACTACCGTAAGACGGCGCTCGAGGAGAACATGCTGATGAACCTGCACAAGCACCCATGGACGGATGCCCTACAGATGGAGGATTTCCGGACCGAAGGGCAGCGGACCAAGGATCGCCTCGAGCGGCTAGTTAGCCTCGCGGAGGGCTACGAGAAGAGGGTCAAGGAGGAGACAGAGTTGACTAAGGACCAACTCAAGACGCGCTACGTCGGCAAGCTAGACCCTAAGAAGCATTTGGAGGATGTTGGGCAGCAACTGATCGAAGACAACATCGTTGCGGTGTCGAGGCAAATGATTGACAAGGAGGCGACGATGGCGAAAAAGGACGCGCCGGTTGGGTCGAATAGCCAGCCAAACGGCGACCAGATGGAAGTAGAGGAGGAGCTCTGAATCATGAATAAATCAGAATACCCCTGGGCGAACGGTGACTTGGGCCAGGCGTTGTATGACTAGGCGTTCGGATAGGGCAAAGGAGCTAAACGGGTAGCCATGTCTATGGCTAATGGCGAATTCTGACGCCTCATCTGTTGCTGCAACCCATCGAGAATGTTCCTAGCCTATCGACGGTGGTCTCTGGCCCACTTCTGGTGAATTCTTTGTCGTATGCCACTTTGTCACGTTGTTCTCCGTTTATGCCGCCCAAGCCCCTCGCAGTGTGATTGTTATTGAGCATTGTTCTAATCTTCCGTCTCTCCACGGGGGCTGTGATGTTAGCCAAGGCCCTTCCTCTGTCCTTAGCTCCCGTTTAAAAGACCCCTGGGCTCTCCAAGTCACACCCTATCTCGCCACAACTGCTTCATCATGTTGCAAAGGCTCCTTTGGAAAACAGCTGGCGCGTTCAGCCGGCTTACTCGCCGCGCGCCCCTAAAAGCAAAGGAGCGCATGCTTCTCGAAACCCCAACCACTCCATTTGCTTCACCTCCAAAGAAAGAACGTCGGCTCTCAAATAGGCCTGTGGATGAAAAGGGGTCCGGCTTTCCCAAGAATCCAACAAGCTCCCAAAATCGACGTTCCCTTCGCCAGCGTATCCCCAGCTGGTGTGGCGGCACACTTTATGTCGAAGGCGAGCCAGTCCGTGCAACCCAGAGCACGGCGCGAGTTGCAAATCCCCTCCCCCAAGGTCTGCAGCACAAAAAGGGCGGTGATATCAACCCTCGGACCAGAGAGCTGTCAGGTAGCGGGGCACATGGTGTTCCGAGTATCATCCTTACTCCTCCCAGCCCAGACACAGCAAGTTGTTATCCTGAGGCAAGACGAGCACCCAGAATGTATGGACCAGGCAAAATCCAGGGCTCAGGCATCTTAAACGCAGCAGACATCTATGTAGCTCCCACTCACCTCAACTCGATATCCAACTCTTCAAACGGGTCATCACTCAGGCCACATCAGGTCAAACCCCGAGGCACCAGGAAAGCCCCCCTACCTGGTCCGCCCCGTCCAAAACCCCCAACAAGTCACTATCCCACAATTACAAAGAAACTGTCCGCAACAACGCACACAAAGGCCACCCAAACCCCCACCCCCCAACCGGCAAAACCTCTCCCTGCCCTCCCTTGCCTGATCAACCCCCAATCAAACCGTCAACGAGACCCCCAACCAAATGACCTCGACCCAAACGTCACCACGATGCCCACCAGCACCAACGCTACCCCGTCCACCCAAACCCAAACCGCGCCCCCACAACAACAGAAACAACAGAAACAACAACCACGACCACGACCACAACCACAACCACAACCACAACAACCACAACAACCACAACAACCACAACAACCACAACAACCACAACAACCACAACAACCACAACAACCACAACAACCACAACAACCACAACAACCACAACAACCACAACAACTACAACAACCACAACAACCACAACAACCACAACAACCACAACAACCACAACAATACAACAACTACAACAACCACAACAACCACAATACCACAACAACTCGACAACTATCACAACCATATAACATACAATACACAACCACGATACTATACACGCTCATTCAAGACTTCGGCCCATTTCGCGTGACAGGTCCATTTTGTTATTTAATATCTGAGTTTACTCAATGCTCTCGCACTCGCGCGGTTGTCATTCTTTTGATGGTCGCGTTTCGTGTGGCACGCCGCGCGTCCACCGAGTTGATCTTGGATTAGCTAGAGGGTGCTGTTCTCGTGTGGTAGTGTAGCGTACCCCCGTGTAGGGTTGAGAAGAGGGGGGTTCGAGGTTA